TGTTTGTTATTTTTCTTTTACTTAAATTGATGTAATATTCATTAATATCAAAAACACATGGTAAAAATTGTTTCCATTGTATCCCAACACAATGTAATACCAAATTACCATATATTCATTATATCAAAAAACACATGTATTTGTCCATTGTATCAAACACATGTAATACCAATTACATCAAGTTACTCCAATAAAAACTTTACAATTCAAGGCTATTTAATACTACTACCTCACCACCACAACCACAATCACCGTTCCACCACCATCGCTCGACCAATCCGACCACCACCACTACCACCATCACTGCTCCACCATCCATACCACCATCTCCACCACCACACGACCAATACCACTCTGCCGCCGTCGTCGAGCCACAACTATCACCACCATTCCACCACCTCAACCACCATCACCACCACTAGTATCGCTCCATCACCTCAACCACCATCACCACCACTGATCCACTACCACTCCCACCACCACCACTCCACCACCACTGCTCTACCACCTCAATCACTATCGCTCCACCACTCAATCACCACCACACCACCATCACTATTGCACCACCACATCACCACCATCCCCACTGCTCCACTGCCTCCACCTTAACAACCATCATCAGCACAATTGCTCTACCACCACTACCACAACCATCATATAATAAAATTATATTTTTAGTGTTTAATATGCAACGCGGAATAAAAATTATATTTTATTTTTTTATTTTATTATAGGAATAGGAAAAATAGAATGAAAAATCACCTAAAAGATCAAAATACCCATCATTTTATATTGTAATTTAATTTTTTTAACGAAAATATATGAAAAAATTAATTTATAATGACTTTAACTTTTATTTTGTTACATTATATTTTTTTGACTTACCTTCTTTTAATTTTTTAGTTCAAATAAATTTATAAATCTAAACGGACTTTAATAACTTAATAATAAATAGCTTTTGATTTCGATATTCTTTTATATTAATAATGATGTGGTGATAGTGGAGTAGTGTTTGAGGTGATGGTGATAGAGTTGTAGTTATGATGGTGGTGGTGGTAACGGTTTGATTGGTGGTGGTAGCGGTAGTGTTTTAATTACATTATATTTTTATAAACAAACATAGAAATGGAATGGTGATTACATTCCATAAATTTTCTCAATTACATTACCAAATATATTAATGGAATCTTAATTACATTCTATTCCATTACAATTTTCATTGCATTACATCTTTGATTACATTATAAACATTGCATGATACCCAACTAAACATAGCCTAAAGAAAGTTATTCCCCTTTAATCACTCATCTTCCTTTTTTTTTTTTTTTTTTTTGAAAGTTATTCCCCTTTAATCACTTCCATCTTACCCTTTTTTTTTTTTTTTTTTTTTTTATTTATTATTTTTTTTTTTTTTTTTTTTTATTATTAAACAAATAATGAATGGAACAAAAGTGTGCAAGCTAATATTCTTCCAATTGAATTGAAAAGACAGTCATTATTTATAAAGAATTATGACCTCAACTAATCAACCTTTCTTTAAAATGGAAACATCAACTTACTTTTTACTTTTCTGGATTGAATTAGTTGTTTGCTAATTGTATTATATAATAGGAATAATCTTCAATTTATTCTCAATATAACTTACAGAAAAATTTAAATTTTGAATCGATTTTGGTAGAAAATTTCAAAAGATGGATATTAGAAAAGACAGTTATCTGATTTTCTTTTATTTGATTTCAAATACGTTGTTCGTTTTCATTTAAGAATCTAATCAATTTTAGATAAAATCTATTCCACTGAGCAAATTAAGTATTATTCACTACATAATTGAAAAATAATAATTATACGCTTCTAATGTATTTTTCTTTAAAATTATATATAAAGTTAAGAATATTTTTTCAAAATTAATTATTTCTTTATGGTGAATTTAAGAATATAATCTTTTTGAATAGAAAGGGTCATTGTCTAGTCTAGTCTAATAGAACTCCAATAAGAAAAAATTATTAGCTTGAAATTTAGGTCATTAGCCCATTAATTCCCTCACTTTTGGCATTCCCTTATAAAGACTAAAGAGTGCAAATTAAGGGAAAAAGAAATGTCTTAAAATCTAACTTTCAGATGGAATGTATAAATCTGGCAAAATCTATATATATAGTTACTTGGATTAATCTTATCTAATGTTTTTTATTTCCTTTTTGGTGCCCAAAAGAATGTTGTCGAGGGAAGACAGTGACCTCCCACGTAATCAGAAACAGGAACTCAAATTTCTCTAGGTTGCACTACAACTTCTGGGCCCATAATAATAACTAATTAATTAATTAATTTTATAACAATGTTATTATTGTAATAATTAAATTTTGCTTAAATATTGGGATTTAGGCAAGAAAAATAGGCATCACCACGGTTTTAAAACTGCCGGTTTAGATTTTAAAACTGCCGATTTCAGTTTTAAAAAAGGTGGAACCAAAATCGAACCGCTTTTATACAGTTTAAAAACCACCAGTTCCGGTTCGTTTCCAATTTAGATAATTTTTTTTAACCTTTTAATTTTTTTAGCTAAATAAGAAAATTAATAACAAATACAGTATTAAATTAAAAAAAGGCTAAAAGAGTAAATTAATAGTTTTAAATTTTATTAAAAAATTATAACTGCACAAAACATAAATTTAAAATTCTTTACTAGTATTTAATTTCTATAAATTTAAATTGAGACATGTCAAAAAAGTAGACTTGTACTTAATTTATATTAGGAGAAAAGAAATGATTGTCTATACACTTATACATTTGGTTTGATATTTTGATACTTAAATATTCAATACCTAGGAAATTAAATTTATATCTTTTTTTTTTTTTAATTTGGAAAAAGAGAGTTTTTCATCATTAAAATTTCCATATAAAAGAATTTAGTTGATATTAACTAATAAAAAAATTCCAAGTATTATGTAGGATCTAGAACTTGGGCACGAGTGTTTCTCACGCATCATGAAATAGAAAATAGATTAATTAGGAATGGCAAGTGAAATGATGGGTTTATATCTTCCTGAGTGCAGTATGTAAATCACATAATTATGATAAGACAATCAATAATTAGATTGATCAACTTCAACTATTGCACACCTTAATTACAACTTTGATGACTGAGACCCTCATATATATATAAATTGGTAAAAAAGAAAAAATTATGTAAATGGTAAATTCTTTATGATTTTACCTTTGAAACTCAAATTCACATTCACAGTCATTGAGAATAATTATTCATCCAAAAATATACTAGAAATACTTTTATAAGAAGTTCAAACATAAACTTTCGTATTACATTCCAAATCATATTTCAAAGTTTACTTTAAAAATTATAATTGAAAGTCTAAAAAATTGGATTATTTACTATTAATATTAGACATTTGACTCTACTTCTAATATTTAAACATCATTGGGATAATCACGAATTGTCATTTACGATTTTATGGTATATAATTTTTTTTTTAATTTCATTTATATTTAATCAAATAAGAGAGGTGAACTTATTACAGTTTGTACAAGTTAACCCATGATACTATTTACCATCCACTTTTTTTTCTGTATGAATACTGTAAAATACACAGAGGTGCATGTATGTATAAAAGCTTCAAATGACAATAATAATGGAAGCAAAAACCTTATATCCAATGATGAAAATCTATACAGAATACATAGAAAAGGGTTTCTACCAAAAAAAAAAAAAAAAAAAAAAAAAACATCTATACAGAAGTATAGAAACAGGGTCTTGTTCTACAAAAAAAAAAAAAAGAAAGACATAGACAACAATTTGCAGGAAGGTGAAAAGAAGCAGTCAATACTGCGTAACCAGAATAAAGAAGAGTTCATAATGATGAAAGTGCCAAATTGTATTAACGCGTTATATTGAATTTAAATTGAGAAGGTTCATGCATAGGGGAAGGATCAAACATGCCTCATGCGATGGCACAAGGCCCATGGGCTCTAATTAATACTAAGTAATTTTTTTTTTTTTTTTTTTTTGTTTAGGTTACCCTTTAGAGAAAGATCATTGGCCTAGGCTTATCGTATGATAAGCAGGGACTGTTGGTTTTCCCTTCATATAATTGATTTTGAAGATTCAGCCTATAATATTCCTAAATATTCAGGAGAAACAGAGTGTTGGGTTGGTGTCCACACCTCCCTTTTGTGTGCTCTTTATCTTTGTCTTTCCCATAAGTCCCTCAGGACCTTGCCTGCGCCGATTTTACACCTCTCAAGACTGGAGCCCGATCCATCTGCTCACTCTCGAACCTGCACACCACAAAGAAAATCTGCTACTCCAGAAATTCGTAAGCTCCACTCCAAACACTCTACAGCGCAATCAACATACCCCAACACGTTAATACACAATCAACTGTAATTAATTAACTTCATTTATCCTTTCACACAAGCAACATGACAAAAAAATTAAGTTACCTAGTACTTTTCCAACTCGTAATGATCTAATCTTTCATATGTCTTATCATCTATACGCCCTTTGATAACTTTCCTTTTTCCAATATATCATTCATAGCAAAATTTCCACAATCAAGAATCTATATATCAGATAATCAATTTTCACACACGATAGTGCTTCTTGTATTGGAACCTTTTTATTCCACACGATAGCATCCTTACTCTCCACCTACCGGCATCTCACCAACCACCTGTTTGTCAATACCATTGCTTTATAAACTACCACCTCCAGCCGGCATTCACCCTACCTTCTATCTAATACGGTAGTATCTCCACCGCTGGGTTAAGTGCCTGTTCCACAGTACGGATAATGCCCAAATAATTCACAACCGCATACCTATAAGCCTTTCTTCCCCTTTTCACTGCAATCTCCAAGAAAAAAAACCCTCAAATACCTCCGTCCTGTTAAAGAAAAAGCGTTCAATACATAAGAAGAACTGCATATGCTGAAAACAATAAACAATCTTTAGACCATCTGCCGATGTCAAGCCAAAAAAAAAAAAAAAAAAAAAAAAAATTTGCAGAGGTGAGAAAAAGGTCAATACTGTACCAAGAAAGAAGAGTTCATATGATAAATGCCAAATTTGTATTAGCTTTATATTGAATAAATGAGAAGGTTCATGCATGGGGAAGGACAAACATCCTCCTCATACAAGGCATGGCTCTATTAAATATATAATTTTTTTTTTTTTTTTTTTTTAGGTTACCCTTTAGAGAAAGATCATTGGCCTACTTTCATGATAAGAGGGACGTTGGTTTTTCCCTTCATATAAATTGATTTTGAGATTTCACCATAATATTATAAATATTAGAGAAAAAATGTTGTGGTGTCCACCTCCCTTTTGGTGTGCTCTTTCCTTTGTCCTTTCCATAGTCTCAATTGCTGTGCATTTTAACTCTAAAGATGAGCGATCATTGTACCTGAACCACTGAAAAAAGAAAAATTGCTATCAGAAATTTATCATGCAAAAATTACAGAATAATAAATGTTAATACACAATCAACTTGTAAATTAATTAATTATTTATTTTTCAAAAGAAATGAAAAAAAATTAATTATTAGTACTTTCCATGCGTATAATCTAAATCTTTCATATGGTCTTATCTATCTATAGCCTTTGATATTTTCCCTTTTCCAATACTTTCCATAGCAAAATTCCAAATACAATTATATACAATAACATCATTTTCAAACACGATAGTCTTCTGTTTGGAATTTTTCCACAACATAGCATCTTATCCTTATAACCGGATTAACATGTTTGTATAATTTTATAAATACTTCAACTACTTTTAAGGTAGTAGTTCAATGGTTAAGTGTCTGTCTCGTAGAAAATCCAATATTCAAACCCTATAAGCCTTTTCCTTTTCATGAATTCCAGAAAAAATAAATAAATACTCGTTGTAAAGAAAAAGCTCATACATAAAAGAAAACTCATATGTAAAAAATAAAAATTTTAGACATTGCAAATTAACCATAGTAAATCTCCCAATCTACCCCAGTAAAAAAAATAGTAATGATATTCATGAAAAGGTGAAAGATTCAAGATTATAGTCTATGTTCTGTCAGTAAATATGGATTAAACCAAGGGCATTTCAGTAACCCAATCTCATAAAAGAGAACACTCAAAGAAATTTTTGGAGCGTACTGGAATATGTGCTATAATTAAAAGAGATAGCACAGTAGAAGAGAGTGCTAACCTCATTATGTCAAGCAATGCAATAACTATTTTTCTCTTGTTTCTCAACATCTCTCTTTTTCCAGCCATCTCCGCATTGAACCAAGAAGGCCACTCTCTACTTTCATGGCTTTCAACTTTTAATTCTTCTTTCTCAGCTATTTTTTTCTCTTCTTGGGATCCAACCCATCAAAATCCATGCAAATGGGAGTATGTGAAGTGCTCTAAAGATGGTTTTATCTCAGAAATAACAATAACCTCCATTAAGCTTCCTACCAGCTTCCCTACCCAGCTCTTGTCCTTTAATCATCTCACTACTCTTGTTATTACCAATGGCAATCTCACAGGTGAAATTCCAGCTTCCATAGGAAACCTGCCTTCATTGATCAACTTGAACCTCAGTTTCAATGCGTTAACAGGAAATATCCCAGCAGAAATTGGCAAACTATCAGAATTGCAATCACTTTCACTAAGTACAAATCTTCTACATGGGGAGATTCCTGCAGAAATAGGAAACTGTACGAAACTTAGACAGCTTGAACTGTTTGATAATGAGCTCTCTGGGCATATTCCTGCAGAAATAGGTCAATTATTAGCTTTGGAAAGTTTTCGCGCTGGTGGAAACCCAGAAATTCATGGTGAAATCCCAATGCAGATATCAAACTGCAAACAGCTAGTTTACCTGGGTCTTGCAGACACTGGGATTTCGGGACAGATTCCGAGAAGTTTAGGGGAATTGAAGTTTCTCAAGACTCTTTCAATTTATACGGCTAACCTCACTGGTGACATCCCAGCAGAAATTGGTAATTGCTCAGCTTTAGAAGACCTATTTCTATATGGAAATCAACTTTCAGGCAAGATTCCTGAAGAATTGGCTTTGTTAAAAAACCTAAAAAGGTTGCTGTTATGGCAGAACAATCTAACTGGGACCATTCCAGGAGTTTTAGGGAACTGTTCAGATTTGAAAATGATTGATCTCTCAATGAATGCTCTTACTGGTGTGATTCCCGAGTCTCTAGCCAAATTAGTACCATTGGAGGAGCTTCTTTTGTCTTATAATTACCTTTCAGGAGAAATACCACTTGTTCTTGGAAACCTTTCTCATTTGAAGCAGCTTGAACTGGATAACAACAGATTCTCTGGTGAGATTCCAACTACCATTGGTCAACTGAAGGAGCTTTCATTGTTTTATGCCTGGCAGAACCACCTCCATGGAAGCATACCTGCAGAGCTAGCCAACTGTGAGAAACTTCAAGCAATTGATCTTTCACACAACTTCCTTACTGGGTCAGTTCCACATTCTCTCTTTCATCTCAAGAACTTAAACCAATTGCTTCTGTTATCAAATGGACTTTCAGGTGAAATTCCATCTGACATTGGCAACTGCATTGGTTTGTACCGTTTGCGATTAGGATCAAATAACTTCACTGGTCAAATTCCACCAGAAATAGGGTTACTACGCAACTTGAGCTTCCTCGAATTGTCAGATAATCAATTCACTGGAGAAATTCCTCGTGAAATCGGCCATTGCACACATCTAGAAATGGTTGATTTCCATGGCAATAGAGTCCAAGGCATCATCCCAACAACCTTTGAATTCCTTGTTAATCTAAATGTTTTAGACCTTTCAATGAACTCTTTATCAGGCACCATACCAGACAACTTGGGCAGGCTAACATCCTTGAACAAACTGGTAATTAGTGAAAACCATATTGCTGGTTTAATTCCCAAGTCACTTGGCCTATGTAAGGATCTGCAGTTGTTAGATATGAGCAGCAACAGACTTATCGGTTCAATCCCAGACGAGATTGGTCAATTGCAAGGACTAGATATCCTCCTGAATTTAAGTAGGAATTTTTTAACAGGTTCAATTCCACAAAGCTTTGCAAACTTCTCAAAACTTGCCAACTTAGATCTCTCTCACAACAAACTCACAGGGACACTCACAGTATTGGGCAGTCTGGACAATCTCGTTTCGCTGAATGTCTCATACAACAAATTTTCAGGATTCCTTCCTGACACAAAGTTCTTCCACGATCTTCCTGCCACAGCATATGCTGGTAATAGAGAGCTCTGCATTAACAGAAACAAGTGTTCCTTAACTGGAAATAGCCATAGAAAGAACACCCAAAAACTCATCATGTGTACTCTTCTCAGCTTAACTGTGACAATGTTGGTTGTGCTTGTGGGAGTGCTTGTATTTATCAAAATTCATCGAGATGCATTTGATAGGAAGGATGAAGAAAACATATTGAGTTGGGAATTGACCCCATTTCAAAAGCTTAACTTTTCTGTCAGTGATGTTGTAACAAGGCTCTCAGATTCAAACATCATTGGAAAAGGTTGTTCAGGGATGGTTTACCGCGTTGAGACACCATTGAAACAGGTTATTGCTGTAAAAAAGCTCTGGCCAGTAAAGAATGGTGAGACTCCAGAGAGAGACTGGTTTGCTGCTGAAGTTAGAACTCTTGGATCAATAAGACATAAGAATATAGTCAGGCTTCTGGGATGTTGTAACAACGGAAAAACCAGATTGCTTTTGTTCGACTATATCAGTAATGGGAGTTTAGCTGGATTGCTCCATGAGAAGAAGCTATTCTTGGACTGGGATGCAAGATACAATATCATATTAGGTGCAGCTCATGGCCTGGAATATCTTCACCATGATTGTACTCCTCCAATTGTACATCGAGACATCAAGGCGAATAATATCCTGGTCGGACCGCACTTTGAAGCTTTTCTAGCAGATTTTGGACTTGCAAAGCTTTTTGATTCTGCAGAATGTTCAAAAGCTTCTAATACAGTTGCTGGTTCTTATGGATACATTGCTCCCGGTGAGTACAAGCAATTCAAGTTCTTCCAAACATACGGTTGGAAATGTTCAAAAATTTTGAATTAATCCCAAAACATATACATGCTTGTCATAATGTGTACATTTTCAAATTGCAGAATACGGATACAGTTTCAGAATCACTGAGAAGAGTGATGTGTACAGCTATGGTGTAGTTCTTCTAGAAGTGTTAACAGGGAAAGAACCAACCGATAATCAGATTCCTGAAGGTGCCCACATTGTCACGTGGGTTAACAAGGAATTCCGAGAGAGAAAAAGAGAATTCACAACAATTCTAGACCAGCAGCTACTTCTTCGATCAGGAACGCAACTTCAAGAAATGCTTCAGGTGCTTGGAGTGGCCCTCCTCTGTGTGAACCCTTCCCCAGAGGAACGACCAACAATGAAAGATGTAACTGCACTGCTGAAGGAGATCAGACATGAAAATGAAGATTTTGAAAAATCACATTGCCTCAGCAAAGGAGAAGGCACTAATCCAAAAACAGCACTTCACTCTTCTAGTTTCTCCAGATCATCTGAACCTCTAATTAAATCACCTTCCTGAATCCATAAATCGACAAAAAGCTTGCATATTAGTTCATTGATTATTTTTCAAGCAACAAAATAATATTTGTATAGATCGATATATGTTGTTGTTTTAGGAGTTGAGATTCAATTTCTTCTACACTAATTCAAGTTTGGTTTCCGTCAGTTCAGGGACTAACACGCATTCTTTAGTTCACACTGTGATTTCTCTCCAAAGCAAAGGAAAGTTGCAGAGTGCACATAATTTCACGTGCCAGTTCTACCAAAGTGAAATCCTGTAGTTTAAAAATAATAGAATAAGACAGCCGGATAAATCCTTATAAGGCGTTTTATATTCACACAAATTCTTTATTCACTTTCCTACAGGTCAGAACATTCAAAACTGCTAGATTTTCACATGCCCCACAAAGAATGAGACCAATATGCCATTTAGCTTCAAGCCTTCATTCTACAAAAGTAATAGAAAAGAAAAAAGAAAAAAGAACAATTAAACCCATTTGTCAAAATAATAAATTGTAAACTAAAATTCATCTTCAATCAGAATCCTCTTGAATCCTTATAACCCACCTAGACCAAGATACTATCATAAAGTATGTTTATAAGAAACTAAAAAGAAACCGTCATTTTGTTGATACAAAAACCTGCTTCTATCAACAGCATTGGTCACAGAAAGTAAACAATAATTAAAAAGTGCTACAGTACAAAATAGCAATAAACAGGACCCGTTATCAAATGCAGTTTTCAAACTGGGGACCAAGAGAAAAGACATTCAGCTTTTGAACCCTATTGGATGTCCATAGGGAGCTGGGCCAATGAAAAGCTATGGTTGTGACACCAATATTTTCTTGGCATAAGCCAAAATAAATCAATAAATTATGAAGATGCAGAAGGACCACCGTTTTCCCCACAAGACCACCCAACATCAATCTTAGTAAAGATAAAGAAATCTCATGCTCCATGTTCTTGACAAGATACGTTGTTTCTAGTCATGTGATATCAAACCATCTCAGGCCCACAGATAGCTTTAAGAACCCTATCAAGCTCTGATGGCTAAGAACAAAAGCAACCATCAAATACAAGTTATCGGTTCTATGGAACTTCTCATTCAAGAAATTTAAATTCAAACAATAAGTGTAACATACAGTAACAATTCAGGGAAAAAATAACTAGCAACAGATCCTGGTGTTAATACATAGCCTTTTTTCCTCAATAGTTGCTTGTCTTCCGAAGGATGTCTGTGTCACAATGAATATATCCGTGTTAACAATGCCTCCTAAACAATGATTGCAAGGGAGCAGTGACTGGTACTAATATAGATACAATAGGCATGTTCATTTATTGCCATGTTGTATGCTAGAATAACATTCGATTTTCAGTCATCCAATTGTCTATTTATACTTTTAACTTCTGAAACTGTACAAATATTGGCTTCTTACAGTGAAACAGTTGAAAAATAAAGATGGAAATGTTATTTCAGATTTTCAATAGAATGTGAAGGCGAATACCATATAGTTTACCCTTTACACCTCAGACAATCAAACCCAAGAACTAAACAAACCTACCTAATTAATATAATTAAGTTGAAGCCAATCACGCTTAGTGGTCCCATTCATCAATTACCAAAGTTATAGACCACTTAAAATCTGAGGTCTCCATCCATCTGTCTTTCACAGTCTACCATCTCCCCAATGAATTTCATACAACATTGCTCAAACTCTACTTCAAGCACCCACTAAGAAAGCAACAGTCAAAAACTAACCAGGTCTACATGCCAGCGCCAACAGGTGTTACAACTTCACCTAATTCTACAATATTCATGAGCTTAGTATCAATTCCTTACCATCCATATAAACAATTAGTATTATGAAATTTTTAGGCTTTCTCATGCAGCACAGAGAAATATGCATATGGAAATTCCCATACTCTATTTCAGCTCTCTTGTATCTTTATTTATCAAACATTTGTTTTGGAACGTTGATAGAGGAGTCAGTTAAGAAAATATACTATTGTTTAAAAAAGAAATTGAAACGCAATTTTCACATTATAGATGTTTTTCTAATAAAAGAAATTATCGATGTTCAAGTTTGTAGTTTATTTAATGACATCTTCCAAGACATTCATCTACTTCATATAAAAAAGGTAAACCTATGTGCAAAGTATCGCACTTTTGTGGGCTCTAAGGAGCGTTGATGTGTGCACCTGCAGTCTTCCCCCCTGCTTTTGCAGAGAGGCTGTTTACGTAGCTTGAACCCATGACCTCCAGGTCACGAGTGGAGTAACTTTATCATTACACCAAAGTTCATATCTGATTGGCTTTAGCTTAGATCTTCTGGGGTTTTGGCACTCAGAAGTTATGAATTTAAATAAATTTCTTCTACTCTAGTTCCTTTTGTACGTATTCCAAAAGCATAACTGCACATGTTCCATTTCTCTTCTCTTTTTATCCACTACAACACCTGCTCAGAAAGAACAGGAACAAAGACCATAAGATGGTAAAAATGTTACCCCCCCCCCCCAAATCGCACTTTCTGTGGCCCCTAAGGAGACGTTGATGTGTGCAACTGCAGTCTTCCCCCCCTGCTTGTTTGCAGAAGAGGCTTGTGTGTACCGTAGCTGTTGAGATCCCATGACCATACTGCAGCGGTCCACGAGTGGCTAGTTAAACTTTATTCGATTACACAGCAAAGTTCATATCTGATCGTGGCCGATTGTTTGGAGCTTAGATTGTTTCTGGGGTTTCTGGCAACTATCGAGAAAGTTGATTTGTAACTTAAATAAATAGTTCTTTCTACTTTCTCTAGTTCCTTATTGTACGTAGTTGCCTCTATAAAAGCCATAATGCACACAGTTAGTTCCATTTCTCTCTCTTTTTTATCCACTACAACACCTGCCAGAAAGTAAAGAACAAAAGACAATAAAGAATGGTAAAAATTTACCACCTAGGCCCCCCCCAGCAGAAAATTTTAGTTTGCCGATGATGTAACCATAAAGTCCAGAACAATACCGCTTTCTATGTTGTTGTTTCCCCCCCCCCCCAAAATTTATTTCCCGATATGTTACTAATATTTCAAACAATACCTATTCTTGTTTTGTACTGCTCTGTCTTCAGCAAAATACGAAGGAGATGCACAAAATTATAGAATTTACATTACATAAATATTGTAGTTTGAAAGAATGTAAAACATATATTAATACATATCCAATTGAACATTCCCTCTAAAAAAATTTTTTAAAGAAAAAGCTGAAACATTCATGAGTTAAACTACCCCAATCTCTTCTGCTCTTGATGGAATCCGAATAATGAACATGACACTTATAACATGATAAAAAGTGATATATCAGAACAAAGAACGAATGACAAAGTTAGCAAACAAGTTCACATTTTAAGATTATCAATATGGTTATCAACTCAAGAAATACAATGTACCTGAAAACAAAATTTGGATTGGAAGATATGATCTTTAGGCTGAGTATCGAAGGTCACATTCCTGCTCCAGGATGCCATTTTATGCTACATCCAATACTTTTGCAGAAAGAAACAATGGCCTTAGACATGCAACCATGGTAGGATAAACTTCAAGATATCTGATAAAAAAAAAGATATACAATACCTTGGTTTCTGTATTGATGAAACTGGCTGGCCAGTAAGAACACAATCTATTGCCAAACTTAGGTCCCTTTAAAACATATTGTTGAAGCAGTTTAGTAAATTACACGATAAGATGTGTGTGTATATGTACACACAAATATATAAATTGAGATATTAGTTGAAATGAAATATGCAACCAAATACACCAACCTTCCAGTGATAGGCACATTATTACTGGGTCGGGAATCATCAAACTGCCCATGATAAACTAGCTCAAATGGTCTTCGGCCATCCTGGAACACTAAATCAATTTAGTTCCATGTTTAAAAAGTTGAATTAGATTCTTATGAGCACTATAGCCCTTAAGACTCACTAGCGGACTAGTGTAGTTCCTACTCTCCACCTCGGGTCCACGCAAATGTCCCCTCCACATGGAGCGGGCAAATCTCCAATACATATGGGAGTTATGATCCATGAGCATTGGCGGGCTTAAGCCTAAGCAGAGGTTAATTAACTGCTTGGACACCCCAATGAATCGAACCCAGCAATAATGGATTTCAATTAGTTCTCAGTAGCAAAAGAGGGTCAGGGAGGAAAAAATATTGTAACTAATCCCTTCAACCTGGCACGAAAGACTTAAGCAGTTATTGAAGATTATCATTTATGAGCACCTTTTTAAACAGGAAAAACTCTGGCGTGCAAACTGCTCCAAAATCTCGAGCAACTTCTTGTGACTGGAGTCAAGCAATTTCAAAGTCGTTAAGAGAATTCTACAAATTTCAAGAAAAAAAATGAGCTTTACAACAAAAAGTAGTCATATCACATGTTTATTGTAGGATCATAATATGTGCTCACTGCCCATCTGTGTACCATTTTTTTTTTCCGGAAGGGGGGGAAGGAGGTGGATGAAAAGTTGAGTAATAAATATTTCTATTTCAGTCGTTTGCACAATCAGTTTGGAAGATCCAATAGAATTATATCCTATCTCCACTTTAACCATATGCATTCTTAAATTATGTTCTCATAATCCCAACAATAGATTAGTATTTATATTAGAAATGTATTGTGAGTTCTACCAAACTTCTCATTCATCTTATTGTTGATTTCTTATATAAAAGACATGCAAAAGATAGGCATACAGAATCAATAATAGCACCAAAAACTATATATCTTTTATCAATCAAAGTCAACACTATCTAACTTAACAGCAGATTTGAATTCCTCACCTTGAAAAAATGCCTCTCAACTGTTTGCTGAAAAGATAGATTTTGGGATTCCATCAATGACAGGGACCTTATTTACAGATCTATGTAAAAAATAAGAAAAAAATATAGAAGATCTGCCACATCTAACAGGCACTCGGCCAAATTTTCCACAAAAGAAACAACTTTTACAACGCTCAAACAGAACAGTTTTATCCTGTATAATTCTCGAACAAAAACCTAGATGAAAGTTGATAATATCCCCTAAGGCAGCATACCATCCACATGTCATGTGCAAGGTTACTACTATCTGCTGTTGCCCATTAATTAATTTCAATGGAGCATATTCGCTTTACAAAACCACAAGAATAGCTTCATTTCCAGAACAAAGAATTTTACAACCTATGGATATAAAAACAGAGCAGATGTTCAACAGAGACAATTTAGATGTCTTGTGTTATCTCTTTTTCCTAATTGATGTTTCACAAAATGAAGACTCCAAACTTCCAAAATGTATCTCATCTTCCAAACCTTTCTTGAAGACTTCGAACACCAACGTGAGACAAAAAAAAAAATAATAATAATAATAAAAAAAAAAAGGAATGAGAGAGAAACCCCTAAAATGGTATGATATAAGCCACAAATATCTGGAATAGATTGCAGATGAGCAACAATGAGGAGATGATTCTCCAACTTCAACTAGAGTACATATTAAAATGGTAATCATACTAGATTAACTTCCATAATATATCATTAGTCACCACGAGAGAGATTGTACAAGGCAGTAGTTAAACAAGCAGTTAATATTTACTAAAATAGAACTTCAAGAATCCACATCAAATACAGATTTCTGATTCCAGTTGCCCCGCTATTGTAAAAATACCTAAGCCAGTCCCATGGGAGTAGATCTTTTCAAAGCAACACCATTTTGATTTGACCACCCTATCAGCCAACCACTTTATTGTTATCAATGACCTTCAAATCCTAAACTGCCTTTTCATAGCCAGTAACTCATCGGAACTGCATGAGTTCACTAGGGTCAACCACACCCCGCCAAAATCAGCATTAAATGCCTTGGTAACAGGACCAAGAAATGTAACACCAACATTCAAAAAATTCAATGGGTCTAACAATCTCTACCTGCTCCACTTACACTCCATGCAATCAGAATCCAAAGCAGGCCTTCCCAAATGCCTGAAAAACTGCTAGTAGGGTTGACTTATTCACCAAACATGAATACCTGAATACAGATTCTAAATTCCTATGATTTTGCTATTGACAAACATTTTGGACTTCAATAAACTGATTCCACATCAAATGCAACAGAAGTGACGAAAAACAATTTACAACATTACTTAGTATCACCTTTAACTTCTTTAGACCTGCTTCTACTCTGCATATGATCATAAACAAATGTCACAAAAAAATATAAAGTTCTAGATATCAGAATGTTAGAACTTACTTCAATGGTCAAGCAATTCAACAAATGTAGCATCAACCATACAGAAAAAAAAAAATCTACTACATTCTGCAATAACCAATCATTAATTTCTCACTCACACCAGAAAAAATTTCATCTAATTATGGGTTTCATTTTTCCTTCCATTCCCTCTCCATAAAAATAAGAGATCCTTATGTCAAACAATAATACCAAATAATTACTTAGAGAATTCCCTACCAGCAATTACATGACACAAATCAGACACCAGAGTTGACATCGCTAATCTGATTCATTTACACTTGAATAGTATTGAAGAGAAACGTGGGAGGAAAAAATTTTAAGAGCAAGGATCAGGATCTTTAGTGTACCTCATCATAGAGATAAGGAAATGAGTAATTACGTAATTTAGCCTCTTCTGCCATGAAATCTGGTCCATCCTGCGAAGAGCAGTTCTATTCTGACAAATCATACAATGCCTTCAATAGTGTTAATCTCAAACAATGCAGTCAATAAAACCTGAGGGTGAGTAGCCACAGAATTTGAAGATATGGCAATTACAGCAAGTCCTTTCTGCAGCATGATACAATAAAATTTAAATATGTTAATTCTACAGTCATTTGCAAATTTATGCATATTTCAACAGGAAAATGATGCAAACCCACAAGAAGTAAAAGGATTCAGCGACCTTCATATAGAAATTTGTGAGCTTCACTATATCCTTCTTCAAGTGTATAACAAATGGACAATGATTGCAGATGAACATAACCTGCACCAAGGCACCAAGACATCCTTAAAAAAAATCAGGAACTCAAAGTGCTCTTGTTGCAAGTGAATTGAAACAATATAGTAATTCCTTGTCTTGGTCAAAGCCAAACAGAGAAGTTGCCTAAAGAAACTTGAAATGGTTATCATGGCATCATGCATTAATGGCCCACAGCTTCACAGGCCCAGTTGTAAATGAAGGTAAATTAGTTAAAGTTAGTCCCTCCTTCTTTTATGACCTTAATCATAAGCTATAATAACAAGCTTCTTTGAGTCTTTCACTGGGCCATTATTATAAAAATTAATTTAAATACTTTGAGCCCAAAGTTTTGAGCTAATTCACAGATTACAATTAGATTAGATGAATGTGAATGTGATTAACCTAAAATGTCAGCTAATACATTAATACAGTTTGGTTTAGGAGTGCTAATCAGATGATCAACTTAGCTTGCAGAAATTACATGTGGTTTGGTTATCCAAACCATCCCTCTAGATGCTAAGTTTACTGGGTGGAACTACAAACAAGATAAAATATTACTGAATACATTAGTAGGATGGTGGAAATAACACTAGACACCAATTAAAAATTATTTGTGCAAGGAGAAACCAGGATGGTTGGACATGTCCAACATAGACCATTAGGTGCATTGCTATTGACAACCGAACATATCCAAGTTATAGTAGTGAATAACATGTGGTGCAAATAGAGGGGCAAGGGTTAAATTGTTAACAAGGATTTAGCATCAACAGACCTCCATTTAAATATAACTATAATAGAAGTATAATTTGTAAATATAGTTGCAAACTAAGTAAAATATCCATGTAGCAACCCAAGTAAATGAGATATTTGATATAAGCTGGAGTGTCAATATACTCTATGGTCAGTCAAGCTATAGTACAAGTATTAGTTTGTGCCATTTTGCAGTTTTCAGTAAGGAAAGACACATTAAACTAACTATAATCATGACAATTTGGAAATGGCAATACGACAATGACCACAATTTCAAACCTTATCAACCAAAAGTTTTGGATGCCTTCTTAAATTGAATTAACTACTAAGGTATTTAGCAATCATTTCTGAATAATGAAAAAGAATAAATAGCATACAATGCGTTAACAGACAAAATTTTTGCGGTAATTAATGAAAAAGAGTAATGTTTGTCCAAGTAATTAACATAAATACTCCTAAAATATGGAGTATTATAACACCTTGAAAACCTTAAGGCTCATTTGTAATTCTCACTCCTATGTGAAGAGAGTATGTAATTCTTCTTCAAGGATAGGACAAAGAAGGGAAATCCCACAGAAAGTTTGGTACTCTTCCATCTTCAACATGAAGAGAGATCCATACCCCAGAAATAAGCCTTCTGCCCTCATTGATTGCTGTTATGGTTGACAGGTTCTGCTCTTACATGCATGCCTTATGACATAAAATTGTTCCTGCTTAGGGTTTGGACACACTTAAAGTTGTGTTATGTTCAGTGTTCGCTATCATGTTAATTGATTTCCCATTTTTAAGTGATGATTCACAATTATTGACAACCCAAGAATGTTAAAAATCATATATGAGACTCCAGAAAGTCTAGAAAGAGAATGACATTTTCTCAAGTCATGGACCAGAAGTCTAGCCTAAAACATTGATCCAAAACAAAATTAAAAAAAAAAAACACAAACATAAATTAATCAGCAAAAGAAATTCTAAATATTGAAAATTGCACCATTTGAGACCCCAAAAAACCAAAAAAAAAAAAAAAAGAATTCGACTTGGCTTAATTCTACTACGAATTTATGGGGGGCGGACGGACAAGGCAAGAAGCAAAAATTTATAAATTACAATGTCTTTTCTTTTTCTTTATTCAATCGTCATCGAAAAGGAATATGCAACATTGGAAGATGAACATTAAGCAAAAGCAAAAGACAGCAAATTAACATATTCCCACAAAATAACAAACAAAAACAATCTATGAAAGTTCAAATATGAACTCACCAATAAAGCAGGATACGACTCAAAATCGTCCAGTTTCCACGTTTTCCCAGTAAGAGGCTCTGGAAGCTATAATTCACAACACCAAGTAACCCCATGGTTAGAAAAGAACACTCATACAAATAAAAAAATGAACTCTCAAGCAGCCATTAAGATAAATACACATAAGAGTTTATACACACCTCAAAATTGGGCGGTCTGAAGCCTAAGAACACACCTTGAGACTCAGTCCTGGCAGCTCGAATTAGGAGCTTCCTGGCGGGTAAAGTTGTGTTCTTTCTGCACCCGAGCTGCAGAAAATTAAAATCCATCTTCGAGGATACCCATCTGGACAAGAACTTTGTACTTGTTATTGCTAACGTGCGCTGAAAAGGCAGTGAACGTGCGCCTCCTGCTGTGGACGCCACACTTTGAACAGTGGCAGCCATCGTAAGGTCGCTGATTGAATTCTGTTGGAAAAACAACAGAGGAGCTTGTGGGCCTCAAGGCTATGATAACGGTAAAAGAGTCATTTCATAAAATGCACGAGGGTGTTACTGTAAATTGGTTGAATCTTATAACCTAGAAACGAATGTGCTTGTTTGTTACCGTACTAGCTGGCTTATACTGTAATTTTACGGTGTATTTATTTGGATAGCAATTTAGAAAGGAAAGAAAATATTAAAAGAAAGGATTAAGGATAAATCTGTTCTCTAAATTTCGACATAATTGCACTCAAAAATTAAAAAACTCATTTTTTTAAGAAAATATTTTTTATTTTAATTAATAAAAAAATTACTTAAAAATTAAAATTAGAAAATAAATTTTTTTAAATATATAATAATTATAAAAATAAACAGTATTTGATTTAAAAATAATTTAACAAATATTTGATTTGTAAAAAATTATAGAATTATAAAAAGATTTGATTATATCGAATATTATATTGAAATATTTAGTTAGAAAAATATTTATTATTTTTTAATTATATTTGATTTATATTTAATTTTTTTTAATCATATTTGATTCGTATCAAATAATTTATTTTTTGGGCAAAAATTGGGTAATTTGTACTTTTGATACAAGTTTAAGGGGTAATTTGTATAAAAAATTAATTTTTGAACAAATTACGTATTGCGCTCAATTTCAAGAAGTAAATTGAGCCTTATTCCTAAAAGGAACTACAAAGAAAAATATAATAAAATTTCTGGACTCATGTTTAGATATTTAAGACGAAAATAAAGAGGAAAGAATAGTAAAATTACGAGTTTAATTTTTATTTTAAAAAATATAATAAATAAGAGTAAATTGTAATTTTAATTAATTTTTTCCGATTTTCCTCTCACATTGGAGAGAAAATGGTATATGAATCTAATTTGAAGAAATTCGGCAAAGGCATTTAACAGATTTACATACTATGCAGCAGGGGACCAACTTTTCTTTTTTATTTTTTTTATTGATTTTTAGAATTTCAGAAGTTGAATTCTCAACCTGTTCTGGGTTCAGCTCCTTTAAATCAAAATGACAGAACGCAATGGTGGTGTCCTCCAATTGCTGCTTAGTATAAAGTTAATGGTGAAAAAAACAAACAACGGAGCTACAACATCGCATATACATAATATACGGACAAACCACAGAAATATATAAAACATAAATAAAAGTTATGAAATTATAAATACCTCTTAAGCAAAGGAAATCAACGCTAATTTCGACTTTACTTTCACACAATAGTCTTTATGCAGTGACAACTCCGGCTTTATCGAAAACACACTGTTTTTTTCTGCAATCTTTTGTTGTATGACCTAAGTTATTTTTTTAGAATTGTCTGTGTGGGTAAATGGCTATTGAGAGGGAAAAAACGAAAATAATAAAGATTAATGTCTAAGTTTAACTTAAACGTCTCTTATATATTTTTTCAATTAAAATTAACATTAGTAAAACCAATATATATATATATATATCTCACATTTTGCAATATGAACATTAAATCTAATTAAACTCTTAACTAGTTCTAAATAAAATAAACAATCAAGTGGTGATTTGATTGATTTTCTCATTTATGTAAGAAGTGGAAGGTCTCGAATTTGAATTCTCTCTATCACAGTTATTTTTTACCAATTTTGTGAGTTAAGGGAAGGCTACCTCTATTTTGTAGTACACAGTATTATTCAAAATTCACCTGCAGTGTTCTGCAAAATGAAAACTTCACCAGAGATGTAAACGCGGAAGCCATGGGAGTTGGAGTTCGTTGCGGCAAGTTCTTAATAAGTCCGATTGGAGCTGAGGTTGAAGCATCGATGAGCAGAGTTTCATTGACTTTAGAGATGGCATTATGCCTCTTATGCTCGAGTCAGATTCGTTAATTTTGATCCAACACAAAATAATATTTTATTTGGGCCTCCTCACTGAATTTTCTGGCAACGTCATTAAACACATAAAACTTGCCTCCATTTCTACTGGAGCCAATCACCTTTCTCCTTGTTATATATTTATATTGCTCATACGTTTGCTGATTGCTTTGTGAAAGAAAATTTTATGTTTATAAAGAAATTTTGTAACTCAACTTCCTTTTTCAAAAATTAAAACGAGAAATATGGAGCTTTGAAATTATGCTCATAAAGAAAAAATTAAGATTTTTAAGAGTTTGTAGAAGTTTGGGAAACTGATTATCAGGAAGCTGGGAGGAGAACCGATTACAAATGGGGGCCTGATTGGGTTTTCTATAGCAACACGAGTTAGTAAGTGGGGATTCACGCAATTTGATCCATTCTTCAGTTTTAATTTTGTTGTCATTGTAAAAATTTTTATATCCATGTTTCTTTTTTTTTTTTTTTTTTTTTTTTAAGAGTTTTGTTAGAAGTTTGGGGAAACTGATTATCAGGAAGCTGGGAGGAGAACCATTACAAATGGGGGCCTGAATTGGTTTTCTTAGCAACATACGAGTTAAGTAAGTGGGGAAAAAAAAAATTCACGCAATTGATCCATTCTTCAGTTTTTAATTTTGTTGTCAATTGTTAAAAATTTTTATATCCATTTTTTTTTTTTTTTTTTTTTTTTGTTTAAGTATTATATTCTTTTCAAAGAAATAGTATTCTTTTTTCAAATTAGAGGCTAATGTATTGAAATAACACTGTGAATTACTGGAAGAATTTATAAGTTTATAATAAGTTTATCAATATGTGGAAAATGTTTTACGCTCTCGAAAATGAAAAGTTATTTTCCTTAAAGGTGAATTAATTTTTCTTTAACCAGAAAAATTTTTTCCGTTGACTTATTTTCCTGAATGCTCCAAATAATAGAAAATTGTAGAAAATATTTTTCTAAAAATTATTTTACGAAAACAAAAAGAATCTAAGTCATTTTGATTAATTCATCTTTCTCATAATGTGTTATTTGTTCAATTTATGTTTATCCAACGTGAAATTACCCATATACTTCAACAAATCTGTATTAATATATTAAAATTATGATGTCTTGTGTAATGATATAACGAAATGAAAGCTCAGAATTAGAGAATTAACCAAAGATAATAATTTTTTTTAAGACATGGCAAGCTCGTCCGTTAAAGGTATGAATGCAATAGATTCTCTATTTGTCAATGTCAAACAGTCAAAGAACCTCCTAGATACAGTTCTAACAATTATATTATTTATATATATACATATTGATTTCTTTGTATATCATGTATAATGAATTTACTCTTATCAAATCTATATAAGTAATGTAGGATTAATAGATTTAACAAAATTGGATAATTATAATTATAACAATAAATTAGCAAAGTTAATTTAGCTAAAATAATAAAATTAGATTTGTGTCAATTATACATGTAAATATTGGATTAGTAGACGCGTGCTACAATATAATAATTGTCTCGTCGTGACAAACAATTTGTTAGCCTTCCCCTTATTAAATTGGTAAAGTTCTTATGATCGAAAAAATTTAAATTCAAAATTTCTTACTCTTTAAAATTAGTGAGAAGACCAACAAGACTATATTTAATTGACCGTAAAATCTCTCATTTAATTAAAATAAAAACACTTAAATTGCTCATCTCTATCTCTTTTCATCGGTCACTGGGTTTCTAAATCTAAATGATCGACCTTTCCACCAGTATGATAATCTTGAATGTGCTAACCAATCAGTTTGACCAAGTTAGAATGAACAAGATTACCAGAAAATTCACTAGATGTTATATAAAATAAATATAATGGATATTTTATTATATTGTTTGTAAAATTATTTTATCAAGCGAATTTTAGAAAATAAAATTAAGTAATTTTTAATCTTTAATTTATTTCAAATATGATAACTCGAAATTAAATTGAATTACATATTTAAATTAAACATAAAAAATTCATTTGTGAATAAATCTACATAAAATTCAAATGAATTCAATATTTTAAATTCATTAAATTATAAAATATTGGTCATATTTGATATGTCATGAAAATGAAATGAGAATAGCAATGGATGTGTAAATCTAATAAATTTTATAAAAAATGTATACCCCAAATAAATAAAATTTATTATTTAAACCAAATATTTTATTATTGTTTATATTAATTTTTGGTATTCACATTTATTAATAACAACAATAGGATAATTTCAAGGTCTTGAATTTGATACGAACTACGTATATTTTAATTGAGTCTTTCAAGAGATGGCAAAAAGAATGACATGATCATAATTAAATTATACTATTTCCTTATGCTAATATTATTAAAACCTAGATCATCATACTCATCCCTAATTTAATGTTTAGCAAACAACGACCATGACAATTTGGAATAAATTAACACAAAAAGATGGTATACTAAGATATAGCCTAATATAAATGCACATACGATTCAGCGATAGATCCGGGTTCAAATCCCTTTCCTAATACTCAAAAATCAAAATCATAAAAAGATGTTTAAGGAGTTTCCATAATTCCATTTGTATAAAATACTTCCTACTTGGTATATATCATATATTGTTCTAGAAATAACTCTTTTAAAAAAAAAAAAAAAATTTCATGTATAGAATGGCGAATATGATTTTTTACTCCCGAATTGTTGGTAAAAATCCAATCCTTCAAAGTGAAAGTGCTATAATTTTGACTTTATATAAAAAGGAACTTATCAATTATTAGAATTAAAAATTGTGTTAGAATAGATACATTTATTAATCGATGTATTTAACTTTTTTTAATATATCTTAAAATTTAATGATTAATAAACTTATTATTATTTCTTAAAAAAATAACCCTACCTTCAAACTCAAGACATCTCGTTTATTATATAAGTGAGAAGACCAATAAAACTAACACTTAATTGGTCTTGAAGTCTCTTTTTTTTTTTTTTATGTAAACCATTGGTATTCAGACCCATTATCAGATACCGCCTAATCTAATTCGGAACTTAGTCAGTCAAATTAGAGGTTTGGAATTAGAGAATTAGTATTATTCAACATTTGAGCTCTACACTGCTAATGATCCTAGATTCAATCTGGCGCGTTGTAAACGGGAAAAAAAAAAAAAAAAAAAATAATATTCAAACATTTGAGCTCTACACTGCTCATCGAAAATCCTAGATTCAATCCTGGCGCGTTGTAAACGGGAAGAAAAAAAAAAAAAAAAATTGAAAAGAGGTTTTCCTATTTGACTTTTGACAGCTATTTGGGGAAAAAAAAAAAAAAAAAAATTGAAAGAGGTTCCTATTTTGACTTTTGACAGTATTTTGAAGAAATTAGTCTCTATCTTCCAAGTTAAGGATATTCTGGTACATTGAAATAAAAAAAGAAAATACTAGTAATTTAAAATATTGTTTAATTATATACTATGAAACTGTTATAATTTTAATATATGAAATTCACCTTAAAAACATTTTCCTTAAATTTTGAATCAATATGTTCTTTTCCTAATAATTGCTCAAACAATAAACTCAAATATACTAAATTAAAAATCAATTATTAGTAGTTCTTTTCCTAATAATTATAATCGAAATGATAAAAATTTTGCATGCCTGTGAATTGTACAAATTCAATTGACTAAGGAAGGCCATAATGACCAAAAAATGTGGCTGGCACGCACCTACTCTACTATCTTATTCAAATTTTCTTTTCAGTAACGAAAATATTCCATTGACAAGATTGAGACTTTAGCTTCTCTCCAGAAAGTTATAATATGAGTAGCTTAGGTCTATGATCCTGTGGTAGGTCCCCTTGGAAAGTAAAAACGTGATCCTCCTTTCCTTTGCCTAATTGATTAATAAAAGGAAAAATTATAATTATATCTCTGTATTTTATCAAAATTAATTATTTTATTTTTGTATTTTCTAAAATATATTATTATAGTCTTATGTTTTAGATTTTTTGCATTTTTAAAGAAAAAGTCAAAAGAAAATCTAACGATCTAAAGAGAGAGAAATTTTTTTTTCACCAAAACACTCTCTTCTTCTTCCTCTCTTCTCTTCCGGTAAACATTACGGTTTCTCTATAACACCTTATGTGCCTCCATAACCACTATCACCTATATCTAAGAATCTCTCAATGGATTTCTATTTTAGAAACATTTATTTTTTGCAGAAATTTGAGATGAAGCTTAGAAAAGTATAAATGGAAGTGACAATATGTAAAGGAGTTTGGATATGGAGACAATATAAACTTGACAATTTCTTTTTAGGCAATTGCAAGAGTATCTAATAGTTGAATTGCTTGTGTTGGAACAATTTATTGTAGCTTTTTACCACATAAAGTTGTTGTGCATGAATCAATAAGCAAAAACCAAGAATAATACCAATTATACAATTTCTCTCTCTAGTTTATCTCTCTAAAATAAGAAAAAGAATAATAAGAAGAAGAAACTAATATAGTTATAGAAATCCTTATTCTTCCTTATTGTTATTGTTGAAATAATAATAAGATTATGATTTTTCTATTTAGAGAGAAAAAATGAATAAGTTTTCCTCTCTCTAAAAACGTTTTGGCGTTTAGAATTTTGATATCAATTTTACTCAGTAATTAAAAAGAAAAATAAATTTAAAACTTGAGTTTCCCCATAAGATTCTAATAATTTTGGTGTTGGGTTGAAAGATTTTGAGATAACCCAGTTTTCCGACCACTATGGATAGCAGCACTGACGATATTCTAACGAGACAAAAAATGGTTTCAAAACAAAACTGATTTTGTCTTTTGGTTAGGGTCATTGAAGTCATTTCATAGCAATTTAACATTTAAAAGTGCATAAAATGGACGGAAGGAGAACAATGTTTAACGGACTAAAAACATGAAGGTATATTAGTATATTTAAAAAAAATACAAATGTAGAGTAGTTAATTTTGTCAAAATATAGGGGTACGATTATAATTTTCCTTAATAAAGAGCTTTCTAAATTCTAAAGTGTCGAACTTATATCCACATTGAAATAATATAAAGTTTGATAACAATTTTTGATAATTTTAGTTTTATTATATCTTAAAGAAGAGTTTGGATAATTAGTGAATCTTGAAGCCAATCGCGTCTGATCTTGTTGGTTTTTCTATCTCTTGTAAAAAATGTAGAGAGTGAGAGGTCTTGAATATTGAGCTTCCCATGTTAAAAAAAAAAAAAATAAACACAGTAATTCGCGGGTCATGATCTTTGTTTTGGTTTTTCTATCTCTTTAAAAAATAGTAGAGAGTGAAAGGAAGTTTTGAATATTGAGCTTCCCATAGTTTAAATAAAAAAAAAAAAAAATATATACTTATATATAATATATATATTATATATGAATATATATATATATATATATATATTATAATAGTATATATATTTAACATATATGGAAGGATGAAGCAAATGAGTAGTTTTAAACATTATTGACAGTAACTAGTGTCAAAAGGATTTTTATAATCTCAATATGAAAATCTTTAAAATTGGGTTTGGGAAATGCACACCATTTGATCGCAAGTTTTCAATATATTTACAATTATTAATAAATAGTCTTATCTCTTCTTGCCTTTTTTTTTTTTTTTAAATGTGGCATTCATTGCTCATGGGTAACGAGATACGTAGTGAGACACAAAACGATTTCCGTTTAGCCCCGAGCTGGGAAGGTATGTCGAGACTTATATCGTGAAAGCCGTATGATGTGGTTCCATAGCTTACCCAAATAATATTTAAGTTTGGACATACACATTCATTTTTAGGCTTGAATTCAACACGAGTAGTCTCAGCGAGAATAAAAAGTAAATCCTTAGCGGTTATATCTAAGTTCGCAACGATCGCCGTGGGTGCGCAGAAAATAGGATCATGGATCCGAGCTATAATCTACCTTTTAGTAAGATTGGCAATTATTCGTGAGGAAAGGATATTCACTTAACAAAAGTGAGTGTCTGGCTAACAGCTTCCAGTTTTATGAAACTCACCCTGATTAGTAATATATATGAAGGATGAAGCCAATGTATTTTAAACCATTATTTGACAAGTATATATGTCAAAAGGATTTTATACTCAAATATGAAAATCTTTTAAAATTGGGGGTTTGGAATGCACACCATTGATCAATTTTTCAATATATTACAATTATTAAAAATAGTCTTTAATCTTCTTCTTCCTTTTTTTTTTTTTTTAAATGTGCATTCATGGCTCATGAGGAATACTGTTAGATAAAATCCTTCCAACAGTAGCGCATTCGAACTTTGAATTCCTTACCTTCCAAATAATATTTATTTGGACATACAATTCATTTTTAGCTGATTCAACCGTCTGTTAATATGTAAATAAATATAAATTTATGTTCCAACATTACCTGTTTTTCAATTTCAGAAAAATAAAATATTTATTTGTTGGATAAATCTAATTTTAGCATATGTCAATCTAATTACAGATTGAATATTCAAAGAGGACAAAAGTTGTTGGATCCAGTTTATGAACTCACCCTGGATTAAACTAATGGATTAAAGTAATTACAATAGTAAATGATCAGAAATATTCTATTTTTTTTAAAAATATTTTCTTTAGTTTAATCTATATCAACTAATAAGTTGTTAACAAGAGAACTTTTTTCGAAAAAAAAGAAGAACAAACAAGAGAGAATTTAGTTAGAGATGTAATATGTGAAGTAATTAAAACTTTATAATTAACAAGCATTGCCGTTAACCTTATCTCTATGGCCAACATGATGATAAATATTCCCAAGTAGGGAAAGCTACACAATTATGATCTGTGTTGTAATTAAAGGAGGACCCACAATATATCTTCAATGTACAGTGATAGAAAACCATATAATGATCAAAAAATGGACGGTTGAGATTAATCTGATGTTCACATTCAAATTCATAGAATATTAGTTTGTTTATAACAATTAAATTTCTTATAGCAGTTAGATAACTCCAAGGTCAAATGCAATGTCACCATCCATGTGTTAGAAAATAAAATGAATAAAAAAATTATCTGATGTAATAATACATTAAAAATTAGAGCTGTGAGTTCAAGTTCAAGCTACAGAAGTTACATGTTACCCAATATCAGAATCTTTCATGTTTTTTGAAGTAAACAATATGAAGACTTGCAAAAAATTTTCTTTATAGATAGATTTCTATTGGATCAAACCTTGTTCTAGTTACATAATCAGAATCTATTAAAGAAACCCAGTCGTTGTCTATATATAGAAAATCAATAGAATCTTAGGAAATATGAAGAGGAGAAGAGAAATGGAGAGAGGGTCAGAGATAAAATCTGCCATTGAAGAGCTTTCTTTGCTGATCCAACTCAAAAACAGTGGTGATAATCATCATCTTGAAGTTTCTAGTATACCCACAAGGCCATTTTTATATGTCTGCAATTTAGTAATTCAAGTTCTTGGTCAGTTTCTTTGTTCATCTTCTCTTTTATCATTAATCTTTCCATTTATGACTTCTAATTAACTAATATCACTACCTTGACTTTCTGGTTTTTGTTTTGTTCTTATGAAGATAAGATAGGCCCAACAATGGCAGTTCTGAGACAAGACATAAACCAGAATGTTCAGGTGAGGAAAAGAAAAATCTTTAATTCTTCTTATATTTTCTCATTTATCTTCAAATATTCTTGACTAATTTTTCTATCATGACAAAAACACCCCTATGATATTTCATTTCAAATACTTAGCTTTGTTGTCTTCATTCTTTCAATCAGTAAATGGTCATTTCTGTCCATGTCTTGAATTTGTCATTTTCTTGCTGAAAGAAAATAACTTTTTCCTTTCTTTTTTTTTTTTTTTTAATTTTCTTTTCTTGTACTTTTCTACAGAGATTAGAAATGCACTGTGATTCTGATCCTTCTTTATACTCAAATCTGGCTGAGATTTTGAAGAAAGAGGCTGACGAAGGCATTGCAAGAAAGGGAAACAGCTGTAGCAAAGCCTTTGTTTGGCTTACCAGGTGTGTGCATGTTAGAACATGGGTTCTGTTTAGTGTAATATAATTAAATAAAAAATTAAATCACATGCATAATCCTAATCCTAATCCTAATCCTTTGACAGGTTTAATGGACGTATGGAAATAATAAAATCAATGGACATTATTTAATATACTTGTATTCTTGACCTCTATCGATTATCTTTTTTTTTTTTTTTTAACAATATTTTTTCAGAAAGGAAAAAACTTTGAAGTATATGATGCATGGAAACTTCTATTCATGAAAGTTGAGTGTTTCCAAAACTCGAAAATGTTTGTGTGTATCCATTTTTCTATATAAAACACTGAAACGGTTTAAAATTACTTTTTAAATGTCGTTTCCTGTATTATTTTCACGTTTTTGTGTTTCCTCGTTTCCGTTTCGGTGCAGCATAGCTTTTAGCTAAACATTGTTCATGAACATAATTGGCAAATAGTAATCAATCAAATCAACAAATTATGCAAACTATTTAGCTGATCAATGTCAATTTAAGTCAAAATGAAATCTGTTTTGCATCCCAGATCCTTGGATTTTACAGTTGCTTTGTTGCAAAGATTAGTGAAGGATCCTGATCAAGAAATGGAGAAAGCTGTGGAAGATTCTTACAGTATCACTTTGAAGCCATGGCATGGATGGATTTCATCTGCTGCTTTTAAAGTAATTATACATTCCTTTCTTAATCCTATCTGCTTCTGGCATTCTTTTTTCCCTCTAAATTAACAAAATTGAACTTGAAATACAAGTGAAGAAATACTGAACATCAAGAATAAAAAGAGTTGGAAGATGCATATACCATGTTATGAATCATGACAAGCTAACGTATTCTTGATAGCTGAATATATAACTTCACCTCTGAACTTTGATTCTTTTATTTTATGGCACTCTTGACTCTTATTTTGACCCATTAAACACTTTAATTTTTTAAACTACACTTATCAATTTTCAAAATTATTTTATTGAACACTTCAACTTGTAAAATTAGATCAAATAAACACTCATTAAAAAGTTGAAATTTATAAAAATTATTATTCCAAAAGTCTTGCTCACTACATATTAAGTCGATATTTTACGGATAAAAGCTAAAACCTCTAAAAATTATTGTTATTAGTGTAGAAAGGTGTGTATTTTACTAAAATTTACAAGTTTAAGTGAATTATAGATTATATGCAAAGTTCAGAATGGCCTAAGGTTAAAGTTGCAAAGTTTATGGGTGAATTTATATAGTCAAATGATTCTTGATTAAATATTGAACTAAGGGATAGTTGTTTGCAGGTAGCTCTGAAATTAATTCCTGATACCAAGACCTTCATTAATCTTCTTAAGCCAAGAGATGAAAAAATTGAAAAACTTACAGAGGATATAGACACCTTCATTTCAGTCATTTTGCCTATTCTAGAAGAAATTCACTCTATTCTGGTGAGTTCAAGTTCATATCACTAACGTTTCACTGTCTATGTTTCTGTTTCTTAGTTAGTTGTTTAAACCTTTTCTCTCATTTGAATTTTGCAGATATTGTACAGGTTGGATAAGTTGAAGTCTACATAGGGAAGATAATGTGGAAAGAAAGCACAAAACACTACATGTACAAAGTTTTGACTTATACATAACCTCAAGTTTCTGCTTCATTTTCTTTTCATATGCATATTTGGGAATAGCTGCGTGAGCTATATTGAGAATTCACTGCAGTACGAGCTAATTTTCTGTTCGTTCGAACATATCATGTACATACAAAAATATGTTAACCACGTACTTTGCTGTGAATAATATGTGCAGAGATTACAGCAATTCATTTTCTTGAGGCTTGACAATTAATGTATCAAGCTTCCTTTACATGATACCTAGAACATAAAATTGAAAGTAAGAAAGTGAAGGAGAAATTTATCCTCAAAAACTTTGTTTAAACTCACTGTTATTATCATAGAACATTGTCTGAATCAAGGAGATGAAGAAGGTTTATGAATCTTTCAAAAGATGCCATTTTTATCTAAACCCAAATTAATGCTATTTGAATTTGGAGAATTAGGTGGTGGATGATGAAGGGCAATGAGAGCTGCAACTAGACCTGCATTGCTAGCTATGTTTGGCTCTGTGAACCGTGGTTTGTCTCTTTCATCCAAGAAGTTGTCAAATTGGTCTGGTCCTGCAACCATGGCTCCATAAAGAATATTAGGGTTTTGATCTTTGGATTTGAACCATCTCTCTCCTTCTTCACAAGTATAGTACTGACCGTCCCAAGGGATTGATGCAGCCCTATGGTGAACATGGGTTGGATATTTGTCCCCGTACCCTACCATGTAACTCATCTTCATAGGATTATCACCTAAAATATAATTTACCTGGAAAAAAAAAAAAAAAAAAAAAAAAAAAAAAAAAAAAAAAAACAGAAAAGATCCAGTTCCAATTTCTAGAGCCTGCTATATTCAACAACTATCATGCTTGCCATGAGACATGGCCGAAAATTCGCAAACAATATTCCAGGTGGGGAAAAAATTCATCCCAGTACTGCAACTTAAACCTGAACTTAAGTAGAAGGAAAAAAAAAAAAAAAAAAAAAAAAAAAAAAACAGAATAAGATCAGTTCCAATTCTAGAGCCTGCTATATTCAACAACTTCATGCTTGCCTGAGACATGGCGAAAATTCGCAACATTTCCAGGGAAAAATCATCAGTACTGCAACTTAAACCTGAACTAAGTAGAAGTTGAAGATAGTCACTGTACAATTTACTGAGAAAAGATGCTGTTGCAGCAAACTGGATTGGTTTACCATTATTAGGACTTAACAGGATCAATCCACCTATATCAAGAAATGATTGATAAATCATGAATGATTTGGATATCCAAGAAATACTATCTATTCTTTATGTAAAAACCTTTACCTGGTGTCCTGTTTGAAGTATCATGAGAAAGATAAGAGCAGATGAGCGAATGAGTCATGTTGGATGCTAATCCTAAACCATTCTGATAGCCCATGTCATGAAAGTAGAGAAGTCTTGTTAGCAAAACCTGCAAATGTTTCTTCAAGGTTATTATATATACGGTGTTCACAGATCAAATTCACAAAATAAGTCTTTTCTTTCCATAAAGAATACCGCAGTAGAAGTAAGCTTGTTGTTCCAATAGAAAATTCCTTTCTCTGGTACTATTTCCTCTTCTTTGGCTGCACTAAAATGATCAGTAGCATATCTAAAATAAAAATTATTGCCAGTAGCAAAGAACAACCAAGTTCCTCCCCAAACTAGTTCATCTTTATAACCAGATGAATTGTAAAACCTTCTTGCCTCTCCTCCACAATCATCAACGCTTGTGTAAGTTCCATGTTTATGATCTGTGTCGTTTTTAGTCACAACCTCGAACAAAATTTCCGCTGAGTTGATTAGTTGAGCTGAATAAGCATTATCTTCTTTAAATACTATTGATGCTGCTGATAATGCTGCAACGATTTCTCCTGCTAGATCAGACGCTGCAGCGGCACCGCAAGATGAAACAGGCCTTTTGTAGTTCATGTCTTCAGGTCTTTGCCAGCAACTTATATCATTATCACCTTCACTGCCATTACCACCACTTCCAACCTAAAATTTGGAGCAAAGAATTGAAATATGCCTTACTAACTTATATTTCCATGCAAGACCAATTAGAGTATGTTGGTATTGAAGTTGAAAATATACATTTTTTTTTTCTGAAAAAGCAACATTTTAGAAATTGTTGGATTTTTTTTTCTATGTTTATAGAATATGAAGTTTACCTTAAAAGCAAAATTTGACAACCTGTAATCAATATTTTCAACATAATTTTCTCAACAACAGCTCAAACAACAATACTGTATGGACCCTTATATGGATAGGATTACCTGGGAATATAGTGTAAAGGGATCTGAAGTCGAATTGGGTGGAACAAAAACTTCGAGCAAGTAATCACTGCCCCACCTGATAATGTCTCTGACATGATCAAGCTCACCAATATCAGCATATTTCTCATGATACTCAATTACAGTCCAACTCAAAAGAGTTATGGTATAAGCAGTAGGGAAACTGAATTTGATATTATTGCCAGAATCATAAAAGCCACCCACAAGACGACCCGGAATGGAATCCCCGTCCTGCAAACCTGAATTTCCACGGAATTTAACAGGACTATTGCTCTGATAATTCCCAGCTGCAGAATGAATGTTTCAATTAAAGTATAGAAAAGTGAAAAGCACAGACAGAATTAGAAACTGAAAACTGAAAACAAAATACTACATTTTTGTGCATCGAAAAACATCAAAGCTTGGTTCAAGGCAAGTGTGAGATTCTTTGAACTTCGATGGTGCTTATGCTTTTGGGGCAAGAAGTGAACTAATAGAATAACTGCTACGACAAGAAAAACGATAGCAAGTGAAATGTAAAGAAACCTTTTGAAGTACTGTTTATCTGTGATAACAAGTTCATATTCAATTGATTTAGAATACTGAGATGAGAGTGAATCACAGGCAGTATTAGATTTTGGAACTAAATGGAAGTCAAGTTCTATGGAAGCCCATTTACTTGCTGAAGGGAGTAACCTGCCTGCCTCAGAAATTGAGTGAACATATTTAACAGGATACTGTTCTATACCAGAAGTACTTGAACTTGACATGGATCGTGAAGTAGGTGTTTGATTCCAAAGAAAATCTTTTTGTGGGAAAGAAAATTGCTAAGAGAAAAAAATTCCAGTTCTTGAAATTTATGAGCTTGTCACTTGTTATATTAAAAGAACAGAATTAAAAATATTCCAGATGGTATGGAGAATCTAGAAATGTAATTGGAAGGATTAGAAATACCTAAAGAGAACCTTATCAACGGTAATTCCAATGCATGTTCTTGTCTGTAATGTATTTTAGTTTGTACTTAGTAGTAAATAAAGAGACAGAGTACCTTGACTGTTAATGCCGTAATGGTAAAGAACAAAGGCTTGCGAAGATTTAATTTTCATGCCAAAATGGTTTAATACATAAATTCACACTTGTGTTTTTCACCAAAAAGCATGACTATCCTCAATTTTCATTTTGACTTATTAAATGTTTCAATTTAGAAAATTGCATCTATTAAACAATTTAATTAAATTATTGAATATCTCAAACTATAAAATTAGGATTAAACATTTATTTTTATTTCTTATAACACCCTTAACATAATAATTTAACAAAAATAGAAAACAAATACCAATTATATTTATTATGTACAATATAATAACTTGTTATTTTTTTATTTCTTATAACACCCGTTAAACCAATAATAAATTTTAAAACAAAAAATTAGAAACAAAATACCATTATATTATTATGTACAATATAATACTTGTTATTTTTTTTATTAAAATTTAAATAATAAATTTCATATAATAAGTAATAACTACTATTCCATGCCTAATTAATTAATTTATAATAAGCACGTAACATTCATCATAATAATTATTTTTTAAATTGAATGTAAAAAATTTTGTTGATTTAAATAATTAATTTTAGAAATTAAAAATTAAGATGTCACTATTGTTTTAATTGAATTTGAAAAATAATTATTGAAGTTTTTATAGTTTCATAGTAATAATAACTAGCGTTAATTACTAAGAACATTAAAAAAAAATAGTTCATACACTGGTTTGAAAATTTTCCAAAAAAAAAAAAAAAAAAACAAAAGGGAAAAAGAAAATATTAAAGTAACATCATTATTGCATTAGAAAAAAAAAATAATCATTGTTATAATTTGGAATTTTTCCAAAGTAAATGACACAAAAGGGAAAAAAAAAACAAAAAAATAGTTGAGTTTATAATGGAGGGTAATTTCGTCAATAAACATTTCAATGAAGAGACAGAATACCTTGACTGTTTATGCCAAAAAAAAAAAAAAAAACAAAAAGGAAAAGAAAATATAAAGTAACATCATTATTGCATTAGAAAAAAATAACATTGTTATAATTTGGAATTTTTCAAAGTAAATAGACACAAAGGGAAAAAAAAAACAAAAATAGTTGAGTTTATAATGGAGGGTAATTTCGTCAATAAACATTTCAATGAAGAGACAGAATACCTTGACTGTTTATGCCGTAATGGTAAAGAACAATGGCTTGCAAAGATTTAATTTTCATGCCAAAATGGTTTAATAAATAAATTCACACTTGTGCTTTTCACCAAAAAGCGTGACATCCTCAATTTTCATTTTGACTTATTAAATGTTCCAATTTAGAAAATTGTACCTATTAAATAATTTAATTAAATTATTAAATATCTCAACCTATAAAATTAGATAGATTAAAGACTTGTTACATAATTGAAAAGTGTGAAAATTATTATTCCATAAACTACAATAACCACATGTCAAATCAATATTTTGCATATAAAAGTTAAAAAGCTTAAGAATTTATTATTTCTAATTTGATAATGTGTTTGATTATTAAGAAATAGAAGTTCAAACTTTTTTTTTAATTAAATTTCGTGGATTAAATTATGAATTCAGTCTCACAAAATCAAACAAGTTTGCCTTTTCTTTATTTTAAAATTGCAAATAAAATAATCCATATGTTCAAAAATATATATATAATAATCCCTAAAACAAAGAACTTAATTTTTACGAAGAGGCTGTTGGATTGGTATAAATAGATTAAGATTTCCACTTTGAAGTTAATCTCATTGTATTGGTATAAATACATTAAGTTTTCTTTTTGAAGTTAAATCTCCGACCAACTTTGCTTGCAAAATTAAAGTTTAGAAACCTGAGTTCCTAATATTTAGAGGATTTTAACTGAATATCATTCTGCTAAAGCAAAACCTGTAAATCCCATTTTTCTCCGGTATTGAGAAAATGTTTTCTTGGCTAACTAACAAACTTTCTACTAATCTTAATCGAGAAAGTCTCCTATCAATATCAGTGTGGGCAGAAAATTTTTGAGTCTTATGGAAAGGTTTCTCTTTGTGATTGGAGGATCCTTTACTGCCCGTTTGGAAAAAATAAATTATAGTTGTAGAATTTATTTGTAAATGAATTACAAGTAGAATTTATTTATAAATGAACTCCAAGTAGAATTCATTTATAAATGAATTTATCATGTTTGGTATGTTAAATTTAAAATAAGAAATTCAATTGAATTCCACGAAATTATGTTTGATAAATTTTTAAATAAAAATTCATTTGTTTTTATTTCTTGTAACACCCTTGATATAATAATTTAACAAAAATAGAAAACAAATACCAATTATATTTATTATGTACAATATAATAACTTGTTATTTTTTATTAAAATTTAAATAATAAATTTCATATAAATAAGTACGCTAATATTCCATGCTAATTAATTAATTATATAAACAGTAACACTCATCATAATAATTATTTTTAATTGATGTAAAAATTTTGTTGATTTAAATAATTAATTTAGAAATTAAAAAAAATTAAGAATGTCACTATTGTTTTTAATTGAATTTGAAAATAATTATTGAAGTTTTTATAGTTTCATAGTAATAATAAATAACGTTATCACTAGACTTCAAAAAAAAATAGTCATTACTAGTTTGGAATTTTCAAAAAAGAAAAAGACAAAAAGGAAAAGAAAATATAAACTAACATCATTATTGGATTAGAAAAAAACAACATTGTTATAGTTTGGAATTTTTCAAAGAAAATAGACACAAAGGGAAAAAAAACAAAAATAGTTTGAGTTTATAGTGGAGGGTAATTCCGTCAATAAATATTTCAATGATCAATTTTTTGGAATTCATTTACAAATTCTATTAATTTTAATAGAATTTAAATTAGGTATACCCAATTTCATAAAATTCAATTCATAAAATTTAAATTTATATTTTTTTTCGTTCCAAACACAACATTTTAGATTTCTAAATAAATTTCACAAAATTGGTGAAATTTGTTTCTTCCAAACGGGATTTTAGCCGCATTGGACTTTGGAGGATAGTTCACAAGATGGGCTCACTTGGGCTTCAAATGGGCCTACTGTGCTTCGAAATTACGTAACAGAAAACCGCTAGTCGTCGTCTCCTTCTCCACCAGCAATAAAAGCCTAGAAATATGTAACAAAACCATCATAAACTGCAACTTCACGAACACTCTGTAAAGTCTGAATCTTGTAAACATTACACATAATTTCTGCATTAAACACCCAACAATTTCATATTTTTGTTAGTGAGTTCTTTTTCTCTACTCAATTCTCATACTTGTATTTCCAAATTGAATTTCGCCACACCATTGACTTCTACTGGGTATGTATTTTTTTTTTTCTTTTATCAATATATGAGCTTTATCCATTGATCGACTGAAATCCGGATAGCTGTTCTTTGCTTATTTTATTCAAATTCTCTTATGGGTACATTTTTAAATTTGTAGTATTCCGTTGGCCTTTAAATCCAAATCTGCATGTTGTTGTTATGTTCACGATTCAATTGCTTTAGATTTATATATAAATATTCAAATTCCCATCTGGGAATGCTTGATTTCCTTTAATATCACAGCCTATTAGCTGGATTTGCTTTATAATGAACATATATGGAAATAGTCCCAAATCTTTCAATGCGTATCCAAGAGGGGAATTTGATTTAGAATCAGGAACCATCAAAAGGACCCGAAAGTCGAAAAACTCCTCATTTTACCCTTTCAAAATGCTCAAATCTTTGGCTAACCGGCTTCATTACTATTACAAGTTGCGCCCACTTCTTGTATTTATACTGTCCTTGTTTTTGGGGATCACTATTCTCATTGTTCTGTCTCTTTATGAAACCCGGTACCGAACCATGATCAGTTACTCAAAATTGAATGTGGATTCAAATGATTATCCTTTTGCAAAGCTTAAGAATCTTATAATGGTTGCTGGGCATTCAGTGTATACCAGTAGTAGTTGTGGGAAAGTTGATAAGGAGGATTCTTGGTTTTTGGAGTCTTACCAGAGAAATCCAGGTCAGGCTGCTACTTTTGTGACTCATATACAAGAGGGAGTTGAAATTGCAGCAAAAGATGATGGGGCATTGCTTTTGTTTAGTGGTGGTGAAACTCGAAAAGATGCTGGTCCTCGCAGTGAAGCACAGAGTTATTGGACTATTGCTGAATCAAAAGGATGGTTTGGTGAGTTAGTCTGCTTCTTTCACCTACTGTGATGTCTTTTGTTATATATTACTAGTAGAATTTAGAAATGGTTTATAGTATTTGGACTACCAATCTACTTTTGAGTCTTTATAGATGACAATCATGGAGCTCTTTAACAGAGAGAATTCTATTGTATATGTTGATTGCATGATTCATTTTTCACTCATTAGACCTAAATAAAGTTGTTGCTTACCTATGCAAGGTTTTAGGTTTCTTGTCTTGCAATTTTGGATCTCCATATGGTGACATGCAAATTCCATTGATAAATTTTTCACATTTTACTTGGGTGCCAGCATTGAGCTAGAATTTCATAATGAACTCTAAGAAGTCAATTTCCAAATTTCCAATTATCACATGGAATGGTATTACAATTATTGAGGATGTGAAAGAATCAAATATAAAAAAATGTAATTAAATAACAGGCAACCCCCAAGTTAGTGATGTTTCTTGCTTCATTAGTTCTAAAGCTACAGTTGAGAACTCTTTAGCTATTATGTAATTTCCATAATGGTTTATCAGATCAATAGAAGAATATGTAGTTTTATATGCATTTTAGTAGAAAGATGCCATTGATTGAAGTAAATCTCAGACAACAAGTGTATGATGCTCTCTTGATGTAAAGGAATCTACAGTTTGTCTCTATTTATTGCATCTGATATTCTCTATTATGTACTCCAAAACATGAAACTTGGCCACGAGTCATCCAAGTTTTCTGAGACTATGGGAAACATTTAATTATTGCTACTTTGTCCAACATATTGTAGCTTATGAGAGGCTAACCAATTATTCCTTTACTTATTTTAGTTATCAAGCAAGTATTAAGACTTCTAATTGGGCAAAGATTAGGTTAAATTGCAATACATTTCTATTTGAAAGTTTTGGAAGTTGCTGAAAGCTTAAACTTGTTGCTATTGTTTTAGCATTAGGTTAGAGCAGTCTAACAAACTGGCCAGGTAATTGGACCTGTCATTTTATATTAATGCAATTGTGTGATTTAACTCAATATTTCATTTTATGAATCATTATTGAGCTCGGTGGCACACTACTACATCCCTTTTGGTATTACTATGCAAGTAACACATTTTGGGCTAAAATTTGACGTAATCTTGTTAGCATATGGATGTAGCTACTTGCAATATCTGAAACCGATTCTGGGAAGGCTTCAAAGGTGAGCTATTTCCATTGTGCCAATAAAATTATTTTTGCCCATAAATCTGCTACTTGCAATAGAAATAGCGAACAAGCCCTTTAATCAATGTTTTTTATTTGTTTATTGACATGAAAATGGATTTCTGACTTTAAAATCCATGAGCATACTTTTTCTGGGAAAACAAATATACGTACCTGAATGGCCGAAACAGTAATCAAACAGTGATCACAAAACCAGTTTATTACCTTTGTACTCTGATGCCAGTGTTATATGAGTGTAAGCAAACAGTTATGGCCTTTGGATTACTTGGATTTCTTGTACGGATGTGTCTTCACTGTCAAAAACTTGTACATCTCTTTTTTAATTTTGGCATAAAATTTGACTTCCTATTGCCTAGCCCAACATCAGTTTTCTGCTGCCTGATGCATTCATTGTCTGAACCAGTATTCGCATCCCTCTGAACCACAACTTTTGGTATTAATAGTGAGGGTGTTTATCTGCATGAAGGCTTGAAACTGCTCAATCTTGATTTTTAAAATGTTATTTAAATGGGTAATTGTCAGGCAATGAAGAAAATGTGAGATGGAGGGCGTTGACAGAAGAGCACGCAAGAGATAGCTTTGAGAATCTTCTTTTTAGTGTGTGCCGGTTCCGAGAGCTTACTGGCACATATCCTGAGAATATAACTGTAAGTCAATTGAGTTCAAAGGTTTTTGTTTCTTTTGTTTGGAGCTAGTTCCAGTACAAATTATTGTTTTGTGCTTCACAAGAGAAGCAATAAAAGAAATATTTAGTCTGTTATATTACAATGTAACAGCATAGCACCTACTGGAAAGAGAGGGATCTTCCATTTGAATCCTACTTCTGTGTTAAATGAAAAACAAGGAGCATTTTTTGACGATAAGTCTACTATATGTATTGCCAAAAAACAAAAATAAGCGTACAACAACTTGATTCTTTTTTCTTGTCGTGTTATATTTTGTTTTTAATTTCACTGAACTTGGGGCCAGATTGTTAGTTATGATTTCAAGAAAGACCGATTCTCACACCTGCATCGCTCTGCAATTGGCTTTCCGGAGCCAAGATTCTTTTACTCTGGCACCCCGGCTTCATCAACTTCCAAAGAAGCAGCTATGAGAGGTGAGGCATTGGTGAGGGCTCAATTTCGAGAAGATCCATATGGATGTCGAGGAACACTCCGGCGTAAGAAACTTGGGCGTGATCCCTTTCATCGGACAATCCCTTATCCAAATGGTTGCCCTGAAATTGAAGGTTTATTCAGATATTGTGGGGCAGCTCCTTATCCAGGTTCCCTCCCTTGGACTTAGCAGTATTAACCATATATACGTTGTCTTAATCCATATTATAGGTATAGGATAAGCCAGCTAGAAAGCTCATATTGCCAATGCTTGACTGCTTTATAATGTATCTTCCCCAGTAACATTAAAAATAACCCTATCTTTTTAACTTTCAGTTCAATGCAGCTGTATTTTTCACCGGAAAGAAAATCTTTTTTTCTTGTCGGTGAATTATAGATGGTCATTTTGGTTATCTTTGCTGGGAATTTTGATTTCAAAATCAAGGAAGCCATGCAAGATGTATTATTTACATTTAATGGTGTAAGAATTTTACCTAAGTTAGCATTTGGCACTGCGCAAAATCCAACTCAATTCTACTGAAATCAAAATAGGCTAAAAAATGGCAGGTAACCCTCAGAATTGCAATTCTTAATCCTTACATATAATTTTTTTGTTATTTATAATAATTTGTAACACAATTAATTTGATATATATTAATATTTAGTTACTTAATAAATAAAATGAATAATATGTTAAATATTATTAAATATTTATTAAAAAAATTTATTATTGATATTGTATTTTTAATCCTTACAATATAATTTTTTTTGTTATTTATAATAATTGTAAAACACAATTAAAATTGAATATTATATTAATATTTAGTTACTTAATAAATAAAATGAATAATATGTTAAATTATTATTTAAATATTTAATTAAAATTTATTATTGATATGTATTTTTTTATCCCGTAATTTATTTTAATTATTATATATTAATACTAAAAATGTTATGAATACTAAAATGTTATGTTTTTAATTGTTAATTATATATTATTTTTTATAATATATATTACACTTTGTTTATTTATTTACTTCTAAGTAGACAGATTTATCGTGAAATTAAAAATAACAAGTTGGAAATTATAGTGAAACCTGGAACAATGATTCAATTCTAAAAACATTATTGTTATAATTTTAGTTCATTTCCGATTGTGATTTAGAAGATAGATGGATTTTGGCCTTGTTAAGTATAATTAGTTATTTTAATAGTTGTCGGTTGTTCTAATAGTTGTCAAGTGTTTTATTAGTGCTTCGTTATATTTTAATGTTTCATAATCCAATTTCTCAAACTATAAACTCTAGTATGGATATTACGGTACCGAACACTATAAATAATCCGCTCTCAAACTATAAACACTAATATAAATGTTATGACATCAAAACCTATTAAACTATAAACACTAGTATAAATGTTATTGTATCGAAACTTATAAATGATAAATCAAAATATTAAACACTATATAAAAAATTATTGTCAAATAGACCTTAGGAGCAATGAGGTATTGAACACTATAAATAATCCACTTTCTCAAATTATAAGCACTAATACAAATGCTAGTGTATTGAAAACTATAAATAATAAGTCAAAACATTAAACATTGTATCAAAAGCTGTTGTCGAGTTAGGCCATAGCAGGAATGAGGCATCGAACACTATAAATAATAAGTCAAAATACTATGTGCTATGTGCCATATGAAAAGCTGTTACCGAATATGTTTTAGTAAGAATGAATTTGGCCACTCAGTGCCGCGAGAGTAGAAGTGCCCATATTACGGTCACGAAAACCGGAACCGGAAATTTTCGGTTCGGTTCCAATTTCAGTTTTGTTGGAACCGCAAACCGGCGGTTCCACAAACCGGTTGGAATCGCCAGTTCGAACCGGCGGTTTTAGCCGTTAGAAACTGTTAGTTTTTTTTTTTTTAATTTTGTTGTGAAATCTCTTAAATTTTTAAATTTTGCTTTGATTCCTCTAAACCCTAAGAGGATACGAAGGCAACTTAATTTTTTTTTTTAAAAAAAAATTAAGTTCAAGCCCTTTTTTTTTTAAATTATGTTCAAACTTTTTAAATAAAAAATAAATTCAATTGAAGACTTTTTTTTTTAAAAAAAATAAATAAGTTCAAGTCTTTAAAAAAATAAATTTACAAGTCTTTAAAAAAAATAAATTTAAATTGAAAGCATTTTTTTAATTTTTTAGGTGGTCTTTAAAAAAATAAATTTAATTGAAGCATTTTTTAATTTTTTAGGTGTATTTTTTTTAGAAATAACTTTCACAAATTTTTAAAATTTTGAAAACCAGTCTTCAAAATTTTAAATTTAAAATTATGTGATTTGCCGGAAAACCGGTCGAAAAACCGATTGGAACCGTTGGTTTTAAAACCGTCGACGAACCGGAACCGAAATCGGAACCGTTCGGTCCAAACCGGAACCGTGGCCACCCTTACGCGAGAGTCACAATCCTATTATAATGTGATTTTTGCAAATAAAATATAAAACCTAAAACCTCATAAAAAAAAAAATAGTATGGAGCACAGAAAATAAAAATTAGAGTATATTTTCTAAGAATATGAACAATGGAAGGTCATGAGTCAATTTAATGATGGCTAGCCATATTGTGGTCGATAATGAATAAAAGAAAAGAAAAAAAAACAATAATATTATATTATGACTCTTACAAACAAGAAATTATTGAGCACAAAACAAAGAAAAATGCTTAATTTTCATGGTTGGCTGCTGCTCAGGTCCACAGGTACCAAATTCAGTGGACAATATATTAGGAAAATGATTAGTGTCAACGAGGTAATATTGTTATTTTAATGGCTTATTTTGTGTGTATCACTTTCGCAATTCACGGTACGGAGAAAAAAAAAACTTTTATTAAAAAAAAACTAAAGATCTGAAATGAAAGGTAGAGAACAAAAGAAAAATTTTATTATTACTGGTCAAAAGCAGCTGAACCCAATACAGAAAATCATTTCAAATATCAGACAAGACAGAGTTATGAGCTATCCTGTACCCTTCAAGAAAGGACAGCTTGAAGCAGCTTCAATTGTTGAATCATCTATGGCGCCACCTTTCATGAGGCCTCCAAGCAATTCGAAACCATTCATAAAGATCTCTACCTTCACAATTTTTTCATGTTCATCCACCTGTTTTATCACACAAAACAGACTCAATTAATTATAATCAAGATAGTATTAGATAAATAAATAAATAAATAAGACAACTGTTAGAGGATTAATTAAACCTCAAAAATGGCCGTCCCATAAATTTCCACCAGTTCTCCAGTGGGAGCATAGCCCTTGAAAGGACCTTCCATGTAACCCCAATGCCTAAACTTGAAAGCAATAACAGGTGGCCCTGAATAAACTTGAAGAACCTCTATTGCAAATCCTCTTGGGAAAGTTGTTATAAAAGCCACATGAGCTGTATCCACAGTTTCTTTTTCATAGTCATAGGCCCTATACTTCGCTGGTAATGAGGTACGCAAAAAGGTATTGTATCCTCCTCCAAGCTTCATCTTTCCTTCCAAAGTTACAGGTTTCATTCCTACACTCCATAACAAATTCATTAGACACACATGACAGACAAATTATTCAATTGATCAGAATTTTTCTCAACAATGATCTTTGAGATGGTCGATGCACGGAGAGGTTGTCTCCATGCCTCGAATACATGACCTCCAGGTCAGAACGGTTACTCTAAAGCCACCGTCTAACCCACAACCTGAAAACAACTTCAAAATCATTGAACATATTGGGTTTTAATTACCATTTAGGCTATAAGTATACTTCTTTGGATCAATTGACTTATAATCATCGAAGCAAGTCTTGTGAAACACTTCCATTTCCCATGTCTTCAGCAAGTTCTGCACTTTTTCTTCCAATGAACCTGGAGGCCATACCTTTCGTCAAAAAAAATATAATGAGCAAGTTAATAGAATTTCTACAAAATGGAAATTCATATAATCTGATCACTGACACAACACAAACACAATATATATATATAAAACCTTAGTTCTGCCTTCTTCAAAGAGTTTGTCAACGACATCATAATTTGGAGGAGCACCAAATCTCCATTTGGTATTCTTCTCTCCCTCTCCATGTAAGTAAGAACGATATTTGTCTCCCTTAACAACTAAATCTGATGCTGCCATTTTTTTATGAAGAAGAAATTAAGTTTCAGTTTTCTTTCTGCAAGAAGGGAGTTTATATAGAGTACTTTAAGTGTAGTAGTTGATACATTGAACTTAACCGTTGCCACGTGTTATGACCAGAAAAGTCAACATTCAAATGCTGTTTTTAATCTCATATGGAATAAATATAACTTGTTAAAAGTCTATATGCGATTTACTAATCTCTTATTAAATTAATAAATAATTTTTTTAATATAATAGGTTTACGAGCATCTAAACTAGAGTGCTAGAATTTTTTTTTTGCAAAATAACACAATGACATATTGTGTCTTAGAATAAAAAAAAATATAAAAAATTATGATTTTCTTTTTATAAAAAGAAGAGATTCAAGATAATAAAAATTTTAAAACAAAAAAAAAAAAAAGAAAGAAAAGAAAGACATTAATTGAGTGGCGTGGATACAGTTAGAGTAAAATTGTTTATTTAAAATTTTTGACAAAATATTTTACAAGTTTAAATTAATAAAAAATTATTTATTAAAACATTGAATCAATAAAAAATAGACTTTAGATATTAAAATTTAAAAATTGGCAAAATGCATATACCAATTCCATTGAAAAATAATAATTCGAAGCTGGAGTTTATTAGTTTATAATAATTTCTAACGAACGCACAAGAGAATATTTAAATAATGGATACTTGTCAAATAAGTTAAGAGTTAATTATATTCGTAGTACAAATTATTAATGTAATTTATTCGTTAGAGTTAAGTATTCAATCGATTGAAAGATGCTCTTCGTGGGGTGCTGTTTTGAAAGTCAATACATAAAATTTATATATAATACCTGACATCTGTCATAATTGGTATTGCATGATTTCTTTTAGAGCTTTTGACATCGTATCGGGAGAGTTTGAGACAAGACACTCGATTTGGATTTCTACGGTTAAATTCATCTTTATATTATAAAAAAAAAAAAAAATTTATGGCACTTCAAACTCAATTTTAGTAACATTTTATATCTCTCTTCATTAGTAAGAATTTGTTTTTATGTTTTTATTTTTTTTACATGCAAAATGATAATTTGAATTGTAATTAGTACAAATTTTAGAACAACATTTTAATCTAATTTTATAAATTGAACATTTACAAAATAATTTTACAAATTAAAAGTGTTTAATAAATATAATTTTATAAATATTTAATAAATTAAAGCAAAAATTGAAAACACTATAAGACTTCTTATATAGATTACGCAAATTTATGCATTCAACCGAGTGATGTCTAGGCAACAGTAAACCTCACCGTTAAATTTTCAAATGCTATTAATCTCGTACATTTGAGCTTTCGTAATAGCTTCTAAATCTCTATTTATTTCTGGTCATATAATATTTAAAAAATAAAACATTTAATTTGTTAATGAATGGTGAATTTTTCTTTTTCTATATTTTGTTTTCTTTTGTTGAAAAATAAAATTCAAGATTTCTACTAATTAATTAATCACAATTCCACATTCTTTCAAGAAGGAGAGTACCAATTCTCCGTATATTAATTTTATACCTGGCGAGCTCCTAGTATCCATATTATTGACTTGCAGAAATAAGAAAAAGATCAGACAAAGGTGCCTCAGAATTGCAGAATAACAGCAAGGCTTTAAAAGCCATTCAGTCCCGAAAGATGGTTATTTGGTGTTATGATTTCATCATTGGCAACTTTCCACAACTAAGTTTAAACTGATAATTAGCAAGTAAAAATGTATGTCTCATGGCCAGTCCCAATAGGTAATAGCAGCAACGCCGCTCCCAAAGGCGATGGAATATGAGACCTGCCGTCGACGGAGAAGCTTTCACAAGGAAAGCTCCATCAACGTCTCCAGCATTTGTTTTTGACGTTTACTTAGGGATTTACAAACATACAACTGTTTGCCCCATAATAAGCAATGATTTCAGTATTGAAATCACGTCAACAATTCAACTCTGAAAATCACAAATATAACCAAACAGATAAAATTGAAATTTGATACGCTTGCCACAACAACCAATCGACAAGTTACGCAATCGGTGACGCCATTAAAACGGCGTAAGGAATACAAGACCTTCATATCTAGAGGAGGAGCTCCACCGAAATAGGAGGAACTCATTAATTTTGGCAATAAGCTGACAAATTCAAACCAAATTTTCTCCTCCGCATTTCATCAAGCACCTTGTAAGCGTCACCTAAATCCCACCTCCAGAATTTATTCGCTTTATGTAAAATATTGAAAAAAGAACAATTGCAGAGAGATTTGGGAACCATCAGAAACCAAAAGATATCCCCAAAAGCAATAACAATTGCCATACGGTCCGCATCATGGTTCAAGTCTTCCGATTCATGGAAGACTCCATCATTTGGTTGCTGATATCTCTACTGCTAGATTTCAAATTCAATCCCAAAAATATGAAAAAAAATGAAAAGAAGAGAGGGCTCAGATGTGTATATGGGTATGAGAAATTTATCAGCACATGATAATCAGAGTGGTGCATGACTTTCTCAATCGCTTCATCACTGCTCTCCCAACAAAATTATCAAATTCAAACCTAGACTTCCATCTAATTTTTCAAACAAAAAAAAAAAAATATATATATATATATAAGAGTGGTGCATACTTTCTCAATCGCTCATCAACTGCTCTCTCCAAAAATAATCAAATTCAAACCTAGACTTTCCATCTAATTTTTCAACAAAAAAAAAAAAAAAATATATATATATTATATATAAAAATCGACAAGTGCAGAAACTAAAATATAGAGAGGAGAAAAAAAAAAAAATATATATATATATATATATAAAATCGACAAGTGCAGAACTAAAATATAGAGAGGAGGAGGCTGCCTAACATCACCTGAAAGAGAGGAGAGACGCTTTGGAGAGGCTACGCTGCTCAACATATAGAGTGCTGAACAGTTATAAGCATCTAACCCTAGTCTGCTTCTGTTCAATTTGTCATTTTTACCCTCCATGTTTATTTAATATTCCGCACAAACATATGCCGGCTCCGTGTTCGACAGATCAAAAGGAATTAAGGCTCTTCTAAGCCCCTGGGCTAAAAGCCCAATGCTCGAACGAGAACAGAACCCAATTGTTTCTCGAAAATTAAACTTCCTGCCTACCACTTTAAGAGTAACAAAAGTCATTTTACTTTGTTTCCACTGCCTGTTCATTAGGATTTAGGATTTTAAGAGTATTTTAATTAAAAATTTTAATTTTATCAAATTTATTTTTACTTTTCTTTTCTATCGTTATTTTAATTGCAGTTAAATTAAAATTTACTACACATATAATTAAAATTTTTACATTATATCAAGACATAAAAATAAAATAAAAGTACTATTCTAATGGTGGTGATTTAATATGAAGTACAATTAGCATTGACTTTATAGTAAAATTAAATGAGAGTTCTAATTTTAAGTAGAATTTAAACTTTTTATTGTATATTTTGAAAAAATCAATGTACTGCAATTATTTTCTTAATTCTTATAAAAAGATGAAATATTGCTATTAAAGTGTAAAGGAGAAAGTAGGCCTGATCTTTAATTTCAATACGAATTTTTTTGAATAATTACAATTTCACTCTAAATTGACATTTGTTCTCCAGACACCTTGAACTTATCAACCTAGTTGCAAACTTGCAATTACACCCTAATTTGAATTAACATCCAACTAATTATTTTTGCATCTTAAAATTGATTCAATTTTAAAATCAAATACTTCAATCAATATTTAGATTTAATTTTATTATTTATTGTTTAAATACTTGGTATGGAGTCCATTTTCTTACATTATTTTAATCAAAACTTCAACCTTAACTTCAACCTTAGTTTACTTTGTGCAATTGCAATAAATTGACAAGTTGAAGATGTTATGATTCGCTTTTAGGGTGCAAGCTTAAAGTAAATTAGGGTGAATTGCAATTAGATTGATAAATTCAGAATGTTCAAGTAAATTATAATTATTTGAAAAGTTCGAAGTGAAATTCAAGGTTAGCCCTAGAGAATAATACTGACCCAAAATGAATTAATATGACATTAAATTATCATTAGGGAAAACCGAATAACTTAACAGCAATATTCAAACATTATTAGATCCAAGAAATGAAGATTAAAAGCAGCAGGCTAGGCTCCAAACAACTTTTAAGTACTTGACTCGTAATCTTAATCACTAATTTCATTAGTAAACATGATTAGTTTCGTGGTCTTTAAATCCGAACAATTAGCATTTAACATTTAATGAAATTCATGGACCAACATATTATAACAATACATTTTTTAGATACGAGGTCTAAGGAAGCCACCATATCCATTGTGCTTCCAAATTTACAACGGACTTTCAGGTTTCAGAGTAAGTTCTCCTAACTCTAAACTTTTGTTACATTCCTTTCAGACTCTGCTGCGTACGTCGATGATAGTATCTGTAGTATCTTCTCTATACATTTTCAGTTAGAAAAATGTCGAGCATTAGTTTCACTGTCACAACTTCTGCACCTTGAAACAAATTGTAACGTGAGGAAGTGGACTGACACTGATGATGGTCTAAGGTGACAGCAAATTGAAATGCCATTTGGAAGGTTACTCTTTGACATTATGTGCCTGTTCTTGCCCTTGATAAATTGACTTTAGATTGATGTGAATTTCTCTTGCCACTAGACAAACTGCTGTCGCTAATGCTTCCCTCGAGAAGGTTCTCATGAGCTTCGGAAAACTCCCTATTCCATGAATTTAAGGGGACAAGATAATTGTCATCCTTAGAGCTCTTCTTTCGCTCCTCATGGCGTTTCACATTTTCAGAGATTTGATGGAAGGTTTTGTTTATTTTTGCAATTCCCCTTTCAACTGGTTCCACAACATGAGACACTGTATACTTCATGTCATCCACAATCTGAAAACACAAAAAAGCATGAGTCAGGATGAAGGAAGAAAGGAAGTGAAGCGACAAAGTTCCTGAAAGGTGTAAAAGCTCAATCCTCTCTTATTCTCATAATGCCAACATTACAAGAAACTGTAAGTTGAGCAAATAATAATTCAAATCGATTAGAGAAAGTATCTCACAATTTCACCACTACCAAAGACCACATCACGAACACTCTGGGGGAAATTCAATCGCTTTTCTATGTCATCTTGCCGAGCTAGGCGTATCCGACTGTATCTTTCACAATCCTGGACCTCTTCTGGATCTGGAGGTGATCCTATAGATGCATAGTCAGTCATCACAGCTACATTACGAACACATCTCTCTCCACGCTTGTATGGCACAGCAGGAAAGACATATAAATGCAGTACAGCTGCAATTCCCATCTGCTTCAACAAATGCAATATTAGATAGCTCCTTCAACTTTCAAAAATCATATGCAACAATTTAATCAATATGGATCAATAAGAAGGTATTATACTAAAGGAGGCATTATAATGAGAAGATTTAATGCAGCACCAGTAATTTGTTAATAGATATATAAAGATTTACTGAAGCATGTTTCCTCTATGATAGAATAAACCCTAGCATAGTGTCTTTGGTAGTTTCAGACTCGCCTAGAAGAATAATCAAATCAGCAGTCATCAACTGACAGCTCATTGACACAATAACTCACGATGCCCATTTGACACAATAATAGACACATATTTAGGACAACATGATTTGTCAGCCTGTGCATGTACTTTGTAAATAGTTATTTGAATAAAGATGAACAATCGAATAAAACAACTAATATAACATTAACATCAGATTTGCTGTTTCTTTCCCAAGTATGTTAATTGTTCTCCTTCCCACTCAGCTAAGAAAAACCATGAGAATATTTACCTGCAATCTACTTTTAAATTCAACAAGTGACAGAAATGTAATATAAGTATCTCTATGGGTGTAATCATACAAGACTCATATATGCTAAATATCATATCATACAAAAGAAATTGAATACAGATGCAAGTGAAAGTTGCACGGAACTACATAAATGAACTAGTGTCTTTGAAAAGAATATTAGCAATTATAAACACAATAGTCAGTTACACACCTCTATGCAGATTATGTAATCTTGTATACGTGTTTTCAGCTCCTTAGCTAAAGAACCTCTGAAGGCACCCATGGAGAAAAGAAATGCAACGGCAACACCTTGCCACCATGTTAGGAAAACAATTGACTTGAATGTCAGAAACTTGGCTAATGGTTTAATAGGTGCTAACTTGTCTTTAATGACAGAATAAAACTGCACAAGGCAATATAAGGCCCAGCTTTGACTGAAATTAAGAACAACTGCCAGGTATGGATAGCTGCAAATAAATCCCATTCAGGTCACAAGTGAATCATAATTATCAACAATAAGCTTATTTTCTAATGGTGTCCTATTACATAGTGGTTGTGGAAAAACTATTGAAACACTATAAACTAGACATCGAACTACTTTTCTGGCTGTCCACGTAGATAGCAAGGCCTTTATGATTAGAAAAAAAGAAACTAAAAAAAATGTCACGAGATAAAGACAATGTGAAAAACTGAAAATAATGAATGAGGATATTTTACCCATATTTCCACTCAAATTTCCCTTCTCCGTATACCCCAAAAGCTTCAAGAATCATTGCTATGAGTGCACAGATCATCTTCAATATCATCTGGATAGTAAATATCTAATGAGTGCTTTTACTTGTTGATTTCATAAAACCGAAAATGATTCAATTTAACAAACAACCACATACATATTGCACAATGCCCACTTTCACAGCATGATAGAAGTCAGGACCTAGTTGCCAATCCCTCAGAAAGCAATTTAATGGAAATGGATGCTCCACAACTCCATAAGCATATGACTCCTCCTCCAAAAGAGGTGTATTAGAAGTGACCAACATCTGACTTTCCATGAATTGAATTGTACTTTCCTCACCACCTTAAAGCAGCAAAATGTTGTCTAACAAAATTAAGGGAGAGCCAAAATTTATAAAGATTGGAGGCTATCAGGACTAGTTAAATAAACTAAGATTGAAATACCTAAGCAGGCTATAAGATATCTCTCAAAGCAATACAAGGCAAAAGCTTCATAACAATCCCTAATTGCTTCCCAGTTGAATGCAGCACTGGAATCCAGCAAAGATAAAAACTGCCAAAGAAAAAATTGATTCACAAGTAGTCCATAGCTAGAAGAAAAAAAGCTTACAATCGATAAGAATTAAGATATTACCAGACCAACAAGTTAGATAGGATAAGCCTGTCATATAGCTTTCAAGATAAACTAATCAAGTTCTCAAATGAAATTGAAGCTACAAGAGCATAAATAGATATTTATGGAAGATTTTTAAGCGGTCCTATCATATCCTGCATCATGTAAAAGACAAAATAACCTTTGTAGCAAGCAAAAGTCAGCAACTCCACAAAAAATAATAATCCATATTGACCTTTAGACTCCTCTAAAGTAGCACAACAGAAAGGTTCAAGGAATTCAGAAATGGTTTCCCACAGTGTCTAGGAAATGAACGCCCATCTAACATTCAAAATCCAACATGTACAATTCACACAAAAAATGTTCACATTATAGCTAGATACCTTGTGAGGTCAATTTCTAAAATCATATACACAGGCAGACTCCAATACATCTAAGTCTGTCAACAGCTTGTAGGATTTGCTGGGTAAATAGGTCATCCTCCCCAAAGCTTCCAAGTATTTTCAGTTGTAAATAAAGAATGGGCATGTTTCCAAATTATTAGAGAATATCAGCATGTCATTGAGTCTCTATTGGTGGTAAAGCATCATCTATGTCATTGTCATTGGCTCATTGCCATATTTCATACATTCTTTTTTAAGCCATTTCCTTCCAACATAATAGTTTCCCATATATGTGGCCACATCAAATATTCAATTAACATAAAATAAGAATAATTAAGGCCATTAATCAATACCAAGCTTGATTAAATAATGCTACCACACTAGCTTTTTTTAATATGGCATATGTTAATTCAATGTTGAGTTTGTGCTCATTATGTGGCTACAGTAACATTTCTTAGTAAAAATAAGGAACCAACATAATTCCACAAGGCATTTTTATTACTTTTTACCAAAAAATTAACACCAGAAAAAAGTGCCTAACTCCTTGCCATGGATAGTGCAAGCTAGATAATCAATGTTGAGTCTGTAAATACAAGCAAAAGAAAAAGGGGCATATTTGGGGGGATGTTACACAGAGAGAGAGAGAGAGAGAGAGAGAAAACAGGTTGCTTTATCATACCGACTCAAGAGAATAAACAGGAACCATCAGAATGAGTCCAATAAGGAATTTTTGCTCCTGAAAAAAAAAAAAAAGAAACAAGTGCTATCAAGTTCACGGGATAAAATTAAGTGAAAATACAAGCTCTTACTATCCAAGCCACATTAAGTACTACAAGGAAACTAGCAAATACATAGGGTAGCACCTAAACATAAAGTAAAAGGAAACTTAAAATTTTAAGAAGAAATGAATTAATACACGAACAAACCTCGGGCTGGTTGTAAGCTGCTAAGTGCTCAAAGATAAGGTACATGGATAGCACAAGAGCAACAAGTACAAAAATGCTAGCACTGAAGATTGGCCAGCTCATGCTAATTGAATCAGCACCCAGATTTAATATCCAAGCTTTCCCTGACTGGCTGGTGGACTCTACGAGGGTGAAAAGGAAAAACAGAGAATAAAAGGCTCCTCTCCATCCCATGGAGCACAATCATATACTGAACGCTATTGAACAAGTCAATATTTTGTCTGGCTTGATAGAAAGTAAACTGCTACTACGTTTAAATATTAACGTCACTGTAGCATATTCTACACTCCAAAATGCTTTCTTTCAATCAGTTTTCAGCTGTATTCAATTGACCTTGCAAAGTAATTAACTGTAATGGGTGTACAAACTGCTGGGCAGGTGCAGGTGGAGGAAGTTATGCAAATATTATGGTGCCTGGAAAGACATAACAACAACAAAACATAAATAACAAACCAATAGACAAGTAAAAATACTAAAAAAATCTCAATTGTGTTCAAGTAATTTGAAAGCAGAAACGTATGCTAATTCAAAAGAATATTTGCAAAATCATTCTAATAAAAAAAGAAACAAGGAGTAAAGATGATATTGCTAAGGGCAGGAAACTCTCCGACAGAGTTGGTTCTTGTCCTGGGATCATTATAGGGTTTATCTCTAGCATTAACAATTCAGAAGTTGTTTTCAAATTTTAATCACAGTTCTAGACACAGCTATTCTCATTCTCTATAGCAGATATCTAATTCACTGCAAGCATTGCATTTGACTCCGATGAAGCAGAAAGGCTCAGCAACTAAGAATTCAAAGGGCAAAAAGAAAAAGAATTTTCTCGCAGAGCTATTTTCTTATGATTCTAAACATAACTAAGTCAGACGCAACTTCTTAAATTCTAATAATTTCTAAACTCAATATCAAAAACAAACAACACATATTTAGCAGAAAAAGTCCAAACATCATAACAAAATCGGAAAAATAAACACACAAAACCCTAGAATATATGGCGAAAGCCTGCATTACCAAAGACGATGCAGAACAAGCACAAATAACCAAGTTGTATTGTAAGAAAAGGACGTTGAGTTTAATCGTGTGATTAAGGGTTCGAACCTGCTTATCAAAGCTTTCCCGAGAAATTTTTCCTGAGAAAAGGAAAGAAAATAAAATTCCTCTGCGGATTTTTGGTTAATAATAATAATAAAGGAAAGGAAACTGATTTTTGCTTAGGCGGTTGGCAAAACTATCAACGGAGGTTTGTTTCTTGCAGTGTCCGAAAATGCTAGTGTCACAGCGATTAGCGACATGTATGTTCTGTAACCACAGGCGAAACTAAAGCCGTCGATTGAAAATTGATCTGGTTCTTAGAATTTCACACCGATGGCAGTCAGTTTGGCTCTTCTGCTTATCGATCAGGTGTCGGTGATGTGTCGCAGTGATGATCTTGTTTTGTGACAGGTTGGTGGTTTTAGAACGCTGAAGCTTTTTTTTTTTTTTAATACAAAATATTTTCTTTTCCCTACGAAGGCGTGTGTACTTCGATTCGGGTGTGGGTCTGAATTCATTATAACACGTCAGCAACGACCAGTAGGTTTAGGTAGTTAAATGAGTACCGATCTGACAGTAGGCTTGATCTTGATTTAAATCGAATTTAAATGGATTAAAATTGACACTAGATCATATTAATGATTCTTAATTATAAATTCATAATCGAAATTGTATACTTAAAGATCAGTTTCGATTTTTTATTTTTTTTAAATCGAATTTAACTATTATTTTTATTCTGTAATATTTGTCACGTTTGAAATTTCACATTTTAAAAAAAAATAATTAAATTTATCTAAATTACAATAAATTATCGAATAAATTCACCAAATATTACCTTTAATTTAATATTAATTTCTCTTAAAAAATATTAAATCAAAATAATAATTATTGGTTATATGCAAAGGATAAATATGAAAAAAACATTCATTACTTCTTAAAATTATAAATATTACAAATATTTTAAAATAAATTATTTTCTCAAATATAAATATTACGAATCAAAAATAGTATTTTGATTTAAAATTATCGGTTTCAATTTAAAACCGGAAAAAACACGTCGTAAAATCCTGTTTATGCCTACCTGCCAGCCAACGCAAAGCGTATCATGACCCGAGTTTAGTATATGGGTCGAGTAATTCCGAGAGGTTGGACAAAACATTATGGGCCAAGTGACATGGAGGATTGGCCCAATATTATACATATTTCTTGAGACTTGTTTGCTCTTAGCATTTCACCGAGTGAAATTTTCTTATCTACCCAAGCGGTCTTATATAATAAGCCAATAAAAAAAAAAGATTTTTTTAAAAAATATTATTGTTTTTTTTTAATTTATGATAAAAAATATCCTAATTTAAATCAAAAACATTCTTTATAATTGATTTAATATATAAATAAACACATATACGGTAAAAAATATCCTCATTTAAACCAAAATACTTTTTACAATTAATTTAGTATATAAATAAAACACATACATAGAATATAAATAAGTTTTTCCTTTCAACAAGTTTAGTTATTTGCACCGAATTGCGGACTTGTTATAGCTTTCTTTTTTTAATTTAATTGAAGTCTATGTTATTAGTATATAATTATTTTTTACTAATATAAATAATATGGTATATTACTAAGAGAAAAAAATAATTAATAGTAATTTAATTTTGTTTGCTTATATTAATTTTTATTTAAATTTAAATTCTATTAGCTAAATTAAGAAATTATATTATATAATAAATGTTAGAAATTAATTATATAATAAATAAAGTATATATTAAACATGTAAGAATATAATATCATTAAAGATTTTAATTTTTTTAGTTGAACAATAAAGGTGATTTAAATTTAATTGGTCATACTAAATTCCTATTTAAATATAAATTCTATTGGATAAAATTATAAATTATATTATATACTAAATAAGATACATGTTAAATATGGTAAGAATAAAATATATTTAATGATTTTAATTTTATTAATTGAAAGGCAAATAATTTGATTTGATTGTTTATAATTATTTTACAAAAAATAAATATAATCATTATTATTTATTAAATAATATATTATAGATTTATTGTTCGATATGAAATAAAAAATGAAACTCACAAGAAATATATATAAAATATAAAATTGCAATATAATACGTTATGTTAGCAAATCATAAGCACGTTAAAATAAATTTCTTTTCTCAAAAAAGCGAATATAAAATTAATTATATGCTCACGAAGTTTTTGCAAAAAATAAAAAAGCACAAAAGTTATAAATGACACTCTAAAATAATGATTAATATATTAATTATTATAATAATTATCTATCTATAATATATGATACTTATAATATAAATTCAAAGTGTAATAAGTCAAGTCAAGTTAATTCTTATTCTTAGAAAATTTTTATTTTTTATTATTTTATTATTTCACAAAATGTTTTTTTTTTTTTTTTTTTTTTTTTTTTTTTTTGTTTTTTTTTTTTTTTTTTTTGTGAATGCTCTTGAATCTTTAGTAATATAAATTGTTCATAAATTTATAATTTATAATAAAAAATCAATAAAAACATATAAATTAATAGAAAATAATATATATAAAAATTAAATTATATTTATAAAACAACATGCAACGCACGTTTGAGAAAAGTAGTATATATATATATATATTAAACGAAGAGAAATATAGAAAGAAAATATGAAGAATATAAGGAAAGTATTTTATTTTACTATTCTTAAACTAAATAATGTTTATCCACTCGGTATATAAATAGTTAGTATATAATGGTTAATTTAAATTAAGAAAAAATTAGAAATACTTATTTTTTTAAGTAATTTAACTTTTTTTTAGTGGAAAAACTAATAGTAACCTTATACATGCTTAATAATTTTATTGCATTGGCGGAATTATCTATGGACTATGGTCTTGTCGGATAATCGTTTTTCAGTTAGCTTTTAGCATTCTGACAAAGTTAAAACTATATTTATTAATTGTATTATTTAATAATATAACTTTAATAATAATTTTTAGAAACTAAGGGAGTTTTTTAAAACGTAAAAATTATGACGTTTTATGTGGAATAGTGAGTAATTAAATGTTTTTTGACAATCATACTCATTATTTTTTCTTCGTAATTCAACTAATTAAGAAGGTAACATCATTTTTTTTTGTCACTTTAAAGGGGTGTCAAAATGGGTTAGTGTGTCGAGTTCGACATGGATTCGTTTAAGACGCATTATGATTAGCGTCAATATGAACACAATTCATTTAATAATCGTGTCAAATTTGTCAACATGAACATGATACCTGTAATTTGCCTAATATCATAAGCAAGTTAAATGGGTCGTGTTGACCCACATACGTCTTGCGTAACCTGCCTAATATCATAAGCAGATTAAGTAAGTCGTATTGACCTATATATAACTCATTTAACTTGTTTATGATATATTTAAGTTTACCTATTTAACTCATATTATTTTTAAAAATAAATTTGCACATATAAAATACATAAATTCTTCAAGATTCATAACTAAAATAAAAAAATTAATATGACAATAAAGTTTAAATAGATTTTAGTTGAGGTATTTATATTTGATACAAAAAGTACCTTTTTACTCTTAAATAAATAGATCACTCACTTAACCTGCGTGTCAATCTGTGACACGACACATTTATATTCGGTGTCGTAAATGGGTGACATGTTTATAATACAAACTCATTTAACTTTAACCCTAACTTATTTATTTTGCTTGTCAAACAAATTGTGTTTTCGTATTATATAACATATTTTAATATCCCTAAATTAAACATCTAACTAAATAACTGTGTTTATCAAACACTTATAATTAAAACTATTATATAAACAACTACCAGTTAAAAGCTAATAACTAACCACTACAAAATAAGTAGCAACTACTGAAATAATTAAACAATTAACATTTTCTAATGCACCATAAACAAATAAAAAAGTGTGTTTTAAAAATTTATTATTATTATTTTTTAAATGAATGGTTAACAATATCTCGTTGAATAAAAAATTAATTTTAATTGATTGAACATACAGATACAGACAGGCTCATATGTGGGGCGTGGATTTGATATATAGATAGACTCACGAACCATGCATAGATAATTCTTTCGGGTGTATGCATATTTTTATAGGCTATTCACCCCACATTAGCAAGCCATTTTCTTCTAAACTTTGCCTTTCGTGCTTTCAAGTTACATTACTATCAAAAAAAAAAAAAAAAAAAAAAAAAAAACTATAAAAAAAAAAAAAAAAAAAAAAGAATTACATCTAACACTCGGGATCCTTTGTCCAAGTCCTTTGATCCGTATGACACCTGTCCAGCCAGATATTCTTGCACATAAAAAAAAAAAAAAAAAAAAAAAAAAAAGAAATTACACTACACTCGGTCCTTTGTCCAAGTCTTTGTCCGTATGGACACCTGTCCAGCCAGATATTCCTTGCACATATTTTCATAGTACCTTCCAAGGAATATCTTCTTCACAACCCTCGCTCATCTTCTCCTCACTGTCGTTTTGTTTCCGCACTTCATACGGTTAACTAGAGGAGGACCCTCCACAAAAGAAGAACTCAGATTTTCAAGAATCATGCTGCTTTTTTTTGTGCAACCTTTCTAAGGGTTGGAAGTCTGAATGCTACTAATAATGTCCGAAGAATGGTCTCCCAAACCCACGCATAAGAATCTGAGTTAATTACACAAATGCCCCTGCCCTTCTCCCAATACATACTAAGGTTTTTCATCAAACTGCCCAAACTGATCTCAAACTGTAATTTTGAAAATTGATAATTTGGTTTAATTTTATAAAATTTAAAAATCCAACTTTTGATTTAGTTTACATTTTTGGAGTTAAAATTGCCCAACTATAAATATAAACTTTTTTAAATTCAATTCATTTTTTTTTCAGAAATTTCATTTGCATTGATTAATTTATATTGAATAATAATTATAGAATTAGTTTATGTTAGATAATAATTAAATGAACTCAATTAAGTAAATTATATAATTTTTTTATAAAAAATTCAAATGTTAAAGATTCATGGAAAATTAGATTAATGTATATATACGGGAGCAAAACTATATTATTTATAATTTTTTAGTAATAAATATAAAAAAATAAATTTAAATTTTATATTTACAAATTGCTTAATTAACATTTTATTGAATATATAACCATTTTTTTAAGCCGTGCTAAGAACAAACATATAAAAAATTAATTTAAAAGTTTTCAATAACTATTTAAGATAACGTATTCTTTTCTTTTTTTTTTTAACAAGATAAACGAGAAAATTTAATTTCCCTTTTTTCAAATCCCTGAGCTATCAAACCGAATTAAATCATAGCCATAATTTTGATTAATTGAAATTTTTTATGGTTTGACTTAATTTTAATTCTGTTCAAACCGTGACTTTAGATTTGATTGAATTATTGTGTTTAATCTGAAATTCTACGCAGAACAGCCTATTACATACTACGCAGCACGTGACACTCTGCTAGTTGAAATTTACATAAATGGTCGTTTTAATCTCAGTCGGATAAGCTACCTAATGACACAGACAAAACCAAACCACGTCACTATGTAAGGTCCCAGTTGCAGTTCTAAGTCATGCATGGCCATGTAAATGTCTTATCAATATCAAAATCTCTCTCTCTCTCTCTCTCTCTCTCTCTCTCTCTCTCTCTCTCTCTCTCTCTCTCTCTCTCTCTATAATATATATTATATATATATATATATATATATGTATGGATATATATGTAAATGCAGATAAATGGATGATGATGATGATACAATGACAACACATTAACCTTTCTTTTCTAAGTGACATCGACCATTAATTGGTTGCTTCAACGAAAATAGTACTTTAGAAACACAATTCCAGTACACCACAGCAATATCGCTAGTGAATTGTGATACACAATCTTGTTGACTTTTAGGATGACTTACCTTAACACATAAACAGATAAACTAAAAGGAAAAGCAAAGCACTGCTATTCTATTTATATTTCATCCTCTCTTTATAGAGAAAAAAAGAAAAAGAAAAAGAAAAAGAAAATGAGTAGCATTAGCGAAGAATTGATGATTGATCAACTGGTTCGAGACTATTATGAATCTGAATCATCAGCTACACCATCAAATTTCCTTTCATCTTCAAAACCTTTCCATCAATCCATTTTGCAGGTCTTTTTTTTTATACAATCATTTCTTTTCTTTTCTTGGTAGTCTTTTGATCCTTGGTCTTGATTCTATTTATTTTAAATTTTCTTTAATTGTTGGGAATCTTGATAACCATTTCTTGTTTCTTAATTTCTTGGTGTATCTTTATTTACAGGATATTCTTTTGGAGGCAACTGATTTTGAGACTCAAATCCTTGAAAAAGTTTTGATGTATATTAGAAACATGGGAGAACCCAATAGTTTAAAGAAATGGGTCCTGGTAAGGTTGCAAATGGATGGTTATAAAGCTTCTCTTTGCAAGAATTCTTCGGTTAATCTTTCCACTTTTGGTCACTCTAAAGGTACCTCTCTCTCTCTCTCTCTCTCTCTCTCTCTCTCTCTCTCTCTCTCTCTCTCTCTCGATTAGTTGTATCTTTCTTGAATTATCTTGACAATTTCTTCTTTGTTCTTAGTTTTTCAGTTTGCAGGTGATTATGAGTATATAGAAGTGATGATGATGGAGAAGAAGAATGGCAATAAGCTAACAAGGGTTATAGTGGATATGGATTTTAGGTCTCAATTTGAGTTGGCAAGGCCTACACAAACCTATAAAGAACTTATCAATACTACTGTTCCTTCAATCTTTGTTGGAACTGAAGATAGGGTTAAAAGGACAATATCTATTTTATGTTCAGCTGCAAAAGATTCATTTAAAGAGAAAGGTCTACATTTTCCTCCTTGGAGAAAAGCAAAGCACATGCAATTAAAATGGTTTTCCAAGAATTGCAAGAAAATCTCTGACTTGTCCAGTACTGAAATGGGTATGGAAGAAGATGTGGAGAAAGATAATATTAATACTACCGTTACTGCTAAATGTTGCCCTTCCATATTTTAGTTGAAGGCCTCCTGCAATTATGATGCTTTGTTAGAGAAGGAGAGATCTAGAGAGAGAGAGAGATGGGTTTTGGCTTGTTCAACTCAACGCAATTTTGTTTGATTTGGTTTGCTTTTCATTTCTATTTTCATAACTTGATTTTGGGTCAATTTTATTTTGGAAGACCTAATTAAGTTTTTTTTTTTTTTTTTTTTTTTTCCTAATTAAGAGTTTTTGTTTTTTGTTTTTTGTTTTTTTTTTTTTTTTTTTTTTGTCCTATATGTAATAAACCTTATTATTAATATTGTCAACAACCTTTTCTTTAATCTCTTTGTCTAATTTTATTTATTTTGAATTGTGCTAATTAAAAAATATATTTGAATACCAATTTCCCATTTCTTAATTTTTTTTTCTTTTTCTAATTTAGCTCTAATGGTGAATGCAAATAAGAGATCTTTAGTGCTAGAAATGATTCTAAGTTGAGAGATAATCTAAAATTCACTGATAAGACTTGCTATTTCCTTACAATTAATACTTATATTGTTAATTATTACAAGTCCTTTTTAATTAGTAAGATAATATTATTAATATATAATGACTAAATCAAATGATTAAGTATTAATCAAGAGAATATAATTATATAAGACAAAAAAACCAGTGGGATTAGAAGGAAACAGCGCCACGTAAACGTACTAATTATGCATTTATTAAAGTTAATAATCAAAGATAAGAATGCCAACGTGGTAATTACACGCATTGATAATTAAATATTACTATCCCAAACCATGTTATCATCATCCAGAAGTAAACTTTTTACCTACACAATTGAAAAAAAAAAAAATGTTTTTAATAGATATATTGTTTTGTTTTTTTTCCAGTGTATGATCAAAAATATTTCGTCTCTATATAAATTTTAACTATTTTTCATGTCAAGACTTCATCAAAAATATTTTGTTTTAACTTAAATCTAACCGTGTTTTTCCTGTCAAGACATAATTAATACATATACTACTTAACAATAGTTTCATATTTAAATTTCTTTTTTTTTAATATTTAAAAAAAAGAAAAAATAAAAGTCTCAAAGCATTATTCTTACTACTCGGATAAGCATTATATGTAGTTTGCTAACTTGTAGAATATAAATTTATTGAGAAAATGAGATCATTTTTATCAATTTAGATATATTTGTGTATTTCTTTTAAAGTGAGAATAAAAAATAATTTTTTCTAATAAAAATAAATAAATCTATGAGAGGAACTTTACAGAGTCAAATATGGATGCTACGTAAGAATGATACACGAACGCAAAACTCTTTTTTTTTTTTTTTTTTTTTTTACACCGAACGCAAAACTCTTTTTTTTTTTTTTTTTTTTTTTTTTTTTTTGCCCAAATGTATAGACTTATAATTTTAATTATTATTTATCTCAATATCCATAAGTTAAATATGTACACTACGATAAGACAAAAGAAGATATTGAAAAAAATAATAAAAAAAAAGAGTTCTCGAACTCATATTTTGTCCTTATCTGTTAACATTCTCTATATTTAATTTTGAGTTATGACTTCGTACAGCAGCTGGAGATGGATTTTTTAAGTCATTAAAAAACCTAAATAATAATTTGTTTTTAATTTTCTATATGAGGCATGGCCCAGGGAATAAAAGACCAATCCAGATGTCAAAAACTTTGTGCACTTGGCACTAATCTACTGCCTCTTGATGGACTTAGCGAAATATATACAACCTTTATTTATGAACTGAGTTATCTACTTAATATTCTTATATAAAAAACAAGTAAAAGATATATATACTAACAACTATAGTAATTTATAAAATGTTTATTAATAAAAAAAATATTATTGAATAGTAATATAATGTTATTTATATGTAAAATTTTAATAAAATTATGTACATTAAATTATAATATCTTAATAATTGACTTTAATTTTTTTCATAAAATATATCAAACAAAATTATATATATATATTATTCATGTCAAATATTAGTAATTTAATTAAATTTTTTATAGTTTTATTACATCATAGTCACACAAACACGTAGAAAAATCTTCTCTCCTAAAAAATACAGAAGCACAAGATATATAATTTATTAAAAATAAAAAAGTTATTAATTGAATAGAATGCTAATAATGTTATGATTAAAAATTTTTAAAGCTATTTATCAACATCACTGGTAAACGTCTAATAATAATTAAAATTAAATCTTAATTTAAAATATAACTCATGGAGAATATAAAATCTAGATAGATTTTAATAAAATAGAATATGACTCATATAAAATATCACTAATGAACTTATACACATAATTATAACTGGACCTTAGTTAGATGTCTTTTTATTTTTTTATTAGTACCATCATATATATTAGTATATTTATACTTAGAAGTCTAGTGTATATAGTTTAAGGATTACAACAACCAATAATTAATTATAACCTACTTATTATTGTTTAATAAAAAATATTAAACTTAATACTTTTCATAATATTTTATTATTACATTTAATATAACATTGAAATATAATTATAGCGCTTTAATTAATAATTAGTTGTTTTATTTTTTTGGTATCTTTCGTTTCACTTCGCAGACAGCAACCCGAACCCTAACCGCTGCTTCTTACCATCTTGCATCTAAAGTGCAAAGCACATGACAGAATTTCACAACATCGTCTTTGCTTTCACACACATTTTATTGTATATTTATTGGTGTGGATTTTGATTATTTGACGAGAAGAAATGGCAAATCTAGAAGATATTATAATTTAATGTACGTAATTTTAATAAAATTTTACTTATGGATAAAATTATATTCGTTAATAAATATTTATAAATTATTATAATTGCTAATGTATATATATTATTTATTTATTTATTATATAAATTATTAAGTAACTTGGTAGTAGTAAGGTAGCTTACTAGATAAATAAATGTTATGAGTTTAATATTGTTAAATAACATAAAATCATTGTTTCTTGTCCCTGGCATCATTTTCCACCCAAATTCAAAAGAGGTGATTGCTGAAGATTCTTGCTGTGACAGGCTCGGCATCAGCCATTTATCATTGCTCTTATAAATATAAGCAGTTGTAAAATAAAGAGTTGAATCCTTTTTAACTTGTATAATCCTAACCATTCCTCCTACAAAATTTGTCAGTGGAGAGTTGAGGAGATTTGACAGTAATAATCATAGCAGCTGCAAATTACAACTTCGCTCGACTGATAGAGAATCTAAGCTGCCAAACGTTATAAATTCTGCAGCCGCTGCTCTGTGATGTTATCCGTGTGAATGACATTTGATCTCCTCAATTCTAACAAAGAGAAAAGTAACCAAAATTTGTCTGATAGTGTGAATATGGGGGCAGAGAATAGGTAGAAAGAGATGATGAAGATTGCCATTAATGGAGTGGCTGATAGCTTTCTATTGGTAGTTTTGTACCAAATATGCAGTAGCTGTTGTTACTTCCTGTAATCAGACAAGTGGTTACAGATTTCATCATTCAAATTTGTAGGTTGCTCCGCCTACCTATACCTGGCAGGTTTTGCTTACACAAATGTAGCCAAGAAATATAGATCTTTCTTCTTGGTAACAGTGCTTCAACTTCTGCTTACTTCCGTCAATTTACTTTGTTAAACACAGCCCAACGCATAAATTGACCATGACCTTCATTTAAAAAACATGCGGGGCAACTTTAATTTTTATATTGAGCTATTAAATAATTTATTTATAAAATTATATTAATTAAATATTTCAATTTATAAAATTATTTTATTAAACATTTAAATTTATAAAATTAAATTGATTAAACACTTATTTGATAATTAAAAATTATTACCACAAATATTATGCTATGTTTCAAGTGAATATTGTATATAAATACTAAAAACACAAAAATTGTTATTGTTAATATGAAGGGTACAGTGTTACTAAAATTTGTAATTTTAAAGAATAATAGATCCTTGCAAAGTTTGGATTTACAAAATTTTTATAGTAACATACATGGACAAATTTATTGATGGTCCTTAAGACACAGTCAAGGTACACATGCATAGCACATGCATGCATACATAATATATGGTCCATAATATCATGTACGCCGATGACTTCTTCCCAATCACAGCTTGGTACTGGAAGACAATAACTGTCTACGTGGCATGCTGAAATTTTCCAAGAAATGTTGCCTTCCTTGCAGAACGACGAATGAGGCCAAAGTTGAAAATTGAAACAATAGAAAGTCAAGAAACAAGAATTTGATTGTAAACGTCAATTAGTGTTCACCTCATCCTTCTTTACCGCATGAGCGCAGTGTAACTTCAAAGAAATTTAGGTTTCTAATTTATTTGTGAAATTACATTTCTCTCCTCTTTTTCCTTTTTCTTTTTTGAAAAAAAGCATTACAAATTTTTGCTGTCGCCATGGAAGGGATGTTTGTCCAAAATTGGTTAAAAGTTGGAATATTGAGTTTCTTGCAAGGCTGTATAAGGATCGGAAAGGTAATCACTCGTCTTTACAGCATGATTTGACAGGGTTTTAGGCTTTCTCTGACTCTTCACTTTTGTAACTACTCCCCATGCAGGTGGGTGAATATTAAACCTGCTGCTAATGCAGTAACAATGGGTTGACATCTCTTATCAATCTATTGTAGCAACCTAAGTCGCTGTTTTACCATTTCTAGTCATTTGATCATAGTCTCTGTAAAGCCACAAACAAATATCTACATGGTTCTCGAATAGCTGCATATGGTTGGGCGAGAGGGATGAGCTTCAAACCACGTTAGTGCTCGATCTAGCTATCCTCTGAGCTTCTTCAAGGTCCTTCAGAAACCTACATTTTCCGATCATAGCAAAAGAAATGACTCAGTTAAGTGAGAAAAAAAATTTTACAAAACTTGAGGATAATGTAGCTCCCTTTTAAACCTAAATACAATCCCTCAAAGCAAAGAGAGACTAAATAGTTGGGTTACGAAATGCAGCCATGGAAAATTATTTAGGATGCAAGATTATTCTGTCATGAAACATAAAGGCAAGATTGATAAAGGAGGAACATTGCAAGCACAGCAATTTTTAACTTCTTTTCAGGTTATTACATATATATCCACTTCTTATCACAACAATAAGCATTATACCTCTTTGAATTAAGAACGACAGAACCACCAAGCATGAAACGAATTCCAGAATTGCTGGCATTTTGCAAAGCAACAGAGCGAGCCTCCTCATATGTTGTCCCACCAACAACAAAAATAATTACATCCTGTGGCCTGCACAAAAAGGTATTGAATCCAAATATTGGTTAGTTTTCCATTTTATAATACACAACTGGCTTTCATTCTCCCACCAAGACAATTATATTTAATTCCATAACATAACAATATTAAAAGTGTGTTTAGCATTGCCCTTTGAGCTGCTGTTAGGAAAAAGCATTTATAAAGGTCTTTTTAAGGTGATTTTCACATATACTTGTCATAAAAACTATGAAACAGCTAAACAGCACTCCGGAATTGTTTTTTCCAATATCATCTAAATGGGATTTTTTCTGGAAAAGCAGTTTCAACCATGATGCAGATCTAATCTTTTGAGTATTTATGACAACTGAGAAAGACACAGAATTAGGGCAGTTCAAGAGGCAGAAAATAAGCAATAAATTGAAAACTTAAACAAGACACACTACTGTCTTCTAGTCAAGTCATAAATAAATAATCCAGTTGATGGGATCAACTGCTAGTGAGTGCCAAATTAGTGTAAAGTGCCCTAATGCCAGCATCTGATGCAGTATATTATGCAAGACATCAAGGTGCTGAGTCATTGCACACAATACGGTTAAGATAACCTTTTAATAACATACAAAGGGTTAAGTGACAATTGTCCCATCCAAGTGTTCAAGCACTCTTGAAAGCTAACTTCATTTGATGCACAGGCTATTATACTTGGCCTAACTGGATGGCTCAGTCACAATTAGATATGCCTCTAACAATTAGGCCCGAAGTTGGTGACCTTTAACATGACCATTATAATTTTCTCTTGCATTTTTCTTCAAGATTCTGGTTAAACCATTAGAAATCATGAAAGAACTGTTATTTACAATCCCTTCAGATCTCTCTAGCTGTGTGTTTGTGGTTGAATGAAGAATACTAAGATGATGTGCTAACCATGTCTACTGACAACATAAATATGATACAAGTGCAGAAAAAGAAATAAAGATATCAAACATTTTAAATTATTGAATTGACTAATTAATCATCAGCTTATGCTTGACTTAGAAAAGTACATAGAATTGCTAAGTTTGGCATCAATTTGCGAATCTAACGCCTACAGCCCATCAATACAATTTGTCAGTTGATATTACCTACCTCCCCTGTTGATAGTGATTTCCAACAAAAGGGTAATCCACATCTCTCATCCGCCCTTTGATTATGCTTTCCATGGTTTGGAACTGAAGAGGCTGGTGCTGGGTGTATACATTTTCAACGCCCTACACAAAAGGTGGAAAAAACAAAATTTTGAGGCAACTAGATCTAAATTCTGAAGGAGATCGAGTGTGTGTACAACTGATTTTTCATCTCAAACCTTCAATCCACGGGCCATGTTACGAGCAATATTCAAAAGATCCCGGTTCCCATAAAGATCCCCAGTTCGCTTATCCACACCGGCTTGCTTCAGGAGGAATTGGACAAGCTGCCATTTCATGTTTATCAATTATGTCAAAACCAAGTAATGATCATTGATCAATAATTCATTTGATCTAGAAACTGTAGAAGACATAAGATCTCTTCATATAATTGTAGCCTGACTAAGATGCATAAGGTATAGAAGTCTAACAACAATTCTAAGCAAAATAAAGCATCTTAAGTTAATGAGACAGTCAAATTCAATGTGTTTGAACTGTATTCCCCAACTGCCCAAAAGCAGCTAAAATTAATGAGTAAATTTCATCAACGGTAAAATCTTATCTTCCTATGAGGGACAAAGCCAAAATGTAAATAGAAGGGGGGCAAACTATATAACACATAAGTGAAGGAGGGCAAAGTGGTTGGAGTGCTTTGGAAAAAGTGGAGAAAGGAGGGATCGAACTTTGAGTAGCTTCATTCCTGCCTGTTATCATTAATGAATAACATACCTGATGATTCTGATCATTGATGGCCCCTAATATGCATCAGTAAACATTTTACTTGTATGATACCCAGGGTTTTATTTTGTAAAGAGAATATAAACACAAACCAAAATATGCAGATAGGTAAATCCAGAATTGATAGTTACCCCAGGCTTGTACTTGGGAGATCGAGAAGCCAGTTTGTTGAAAAGCTGCATTAATTGAACAGGACTCTCCTTCTCATAACGCAGAGCATATAACATCACCAGGCGTAGACGGTCAATATCAGATAGACTTTCATTGTTTAACAGATTAGTCACAGCCTGCAAAAATGTAATTAAGAAAGGTCAGTCAATATTCACCATTTGCATATTGTTTCCAATTTGTAGCTGCAAAATGAACGTTAATAAGTTGATCTCAATGAAATTAGATACCAGGCCTAAATAGATCTGCAGGCAAGTAATCATTGGTCTAGTATAAAAATATCTATTGCTTTACTTGTGTTTACAAGAAGGTAAATTTTCTGTTTGTATCCTTAATAGAACATAAAGTTCTTTCAATCACCCAAGTGATATTGTGTATTATATTTCTTCAGGAACCTAAAATCCATTACCTCCTATCAAGTAAGGCTACAAACACATTCTTGACTTTCAAATTCCAGGTATCCTCTAATAACTTCGGTCTTCTTTTCAATTTCCCACTGAACGCGTCAAGCTTTTATATAGTTTTCAAAATGTTTAATTTTAAATCTACCAAAAAAATCAAACATTTATACACGTTTTCAAGTTTGGCCAACTAACTCCTTGTTAAAAAATTATTGAAACTGGCTCCTGCATATAAGCATTGTGTTTGTGGTCATATGTAACAGTGACTTTCACTTAAATCCATGCAGAAAGCACACAAAAAACAAATAGATGATTCATATGCATAACCTCAAAAGCAGCGCCCTGCCCACCATTACAAGCCAACTCCTGTTCTGTTTCTGAAACTAGCATGAGTTTTCGCTCTTCAACTATCTTGCTCATTTCTGTTACCAATGTCACATGCTTGGAAACATTGCCATGCATTTTACGGTACTCGGGGTAATTGTCAACAAATTTGGCCATATCCTCTGCGGAAATTCAAAGCATTTACAGATTTATTGGTAAAACAAGTTAATAAGCTAGTTGAAACTAACAAAATTTCCAATGATCTCTGAACATTGCCAAAAACGAACCTATTGTCTGGAGGTTCTGGTTACTCTTTGCAACTTGTTGAAATTCATCCACCATCCGCTTGATATTCATTCCAATATCTCCAAAATTTTCATACATGTTAGCTTTGAAAAATGCATCTTGCTCTGATGATAGCACAACCTCCTGCAAGTATGGACAACAGAAAGTTGATACTTTAAACCACCAAAATTTAGTAATAACTGAGGTAAAAGTGTAAATCAAATCAACCTGCTGATCTTTCGGGAATTTTCCAATACTTCTCAAATCTACTTTGTTGTCCTGAATTCCTATTAATTCATGAACCATAGCCTGCAAAATAAAAGAGGATAATCACGGAGCTGCACTATCAGTGTAACACCAAAATCATTTGAGAACAATATTCCACATATGAACTGCCAAAAATCACATATCAGAGTCACAGCAATAGTTACCTGATAGGTCCACTGATTCAGCAAAGGTGTCACAGGGTCATCCCTTCGATCAACTATAAGCAACAGAGGAGAAACTTCTGTTCGCCTGAAATCAAAGAGGCCACTTTCCTGCTGGTACATCAACTTCTGTAATACCACAAATTAAAAAAGATATCAGATTCTGTGATATCGAAATTCAAGGCACATGCATGGTGCCTTCAACACCACTGGGAAATAATTGCAGTAATATGGTATGATTTACATAGATACATATAAATTTACACGTATATGAATCTGGATGCAAATATAATGCAAAAAATCAGCTTTAACAAATCCTGACACAATTTATGCATTGAAACAGTCTGTTATAAGAACAGAATATTTTGTGTCCACGCATATATCCTTCACCTGATTCTAAGAAATGAAACTGGAAAATTATCAATGAGAACCTGTAGTTTCAACTCGAGAAAATGGTTTTCATAGCAGCTCAAGAAATGTTTGTATGCAAATTGCATCCATGTCACATCTTTAGTCTAAAATTTTACTTACTGCAGTTTCCTGTGCTATCCTTTTTGCAATATCAGAGGTTCTCTGATATCGAATAACAGGTCTTCGCTTCAATGCCAAAAAAACTGTTGCAATACCATCAACGACTCTATCGCAGAAATGTTGCAAGCCAGAAGGATCCACAACTGCTGGGAGCATATAAAAGTGATTTGAAGGAATATTCAATGTGAAATGATATGGATCAACTGCAACAAAGTCTGCATAAAATTCCTGCAAATTTAATAGGACAATTACATCCAAATTTAATCCCAGATCAAGGACTGAATAAATAATGTGGCATTTTGCAACAGCTAATTAACAGTCTGCATATGATTTTGCTGGAACTACTGTAGAATTGAAAAAGTACAAAATGATAATTAAACCAACACTTTGTATTTCTGCATCTCTTATTTCATAGCCTTCATCATCATGCAACATTCCAATAGCTTTGAATGGCAATTGTCTTTGACACATCGTCAGAGGAGCATAAAAAGTTGTTAAAAATGCTCCATCAGGTGCAGGAATCTAAATCCGTCCAAGCAGAAATTGATCATTTTCTTTCAGGGAGCTTAAACTAGATTTCTCGTGCATGTCAACTCTGCAACCTAAATATCAGGTAAAGTGGCTAGCAGGGCCAAGCCTGATCACTATGCTGGGGCGTTGAGATCAACTAAGATATAGGAGCCAACACTCAAGATGTGTCAAAGCAGTGAGCCACTTCTCTCCATTAGTCATTGCAAAGGATTGTAGCTTCATATTAACTTACAAGTTTCTCCAATCACTGATTATAGTCCAGGAATTCACATATTAAAGGATATTTTTCTCCTTACTTATGTCAAAGGCTCCACTCTACGAATTACTAACATGCTCAAATACCTTTTGAACAGGATTCCTCTCCTCAAGCACTTGCCATCTCATTTCTTTATAGGTAGTCAAATTTAATGTTGGCATTGCATAATTACATCAAATTCGCAGTAACCTAATTGTTCCTACATCTTTTTAAGATATATTATACTATAAAATGCTGTTACTCACTTACTTCAACAGAAGCATGATCCCTGGGTTTTGGGAGAGAAAGAAAAAGGAAGGAGGCTGGGGGATTGAACCAAAGTTGCTTGCGGACTAAATTTCCAGTATGACCATTACAGGAGACTTAGTTCTTTGGTTGTGCTTACTGTAATTTTCTTGCATGACAGTTGATTCAACCATGTCAAGTTAACATATATCAAGCATGCATACAGGCGTAGACGTACTAGTAGAAACACATACACTAGAGGGAAAAAAGCTACAGATAAGAAAGAACTGAGAAGATATTTAATAAAATAGACAAACATATAATTTCATATAAGCAGAAGCGTCAATAGCAAGTTACCTGAACTTGCTGTACAACTTCCTGCTCATCTGAATCAGCTAAAATATGAATCTGAGTATCCTTCAACATGTTGGAGAAAACTGTAAATGGAGCATGTAGATAAAGTGAATTTGGCCCAACAACCAACAATTATGAATAAAACTTTAGATATTAAGGGATCAAAATGAAACTGTGTCACAAGAGCTTACATAGGTGATACTCCCCAAATCTAGGATTAGCCAGTTGGCGACGTAAGTGCTGAATATTCTCCGATGTAGGGCGAAGGAAGTAAACTGCTTTCAAATGCGACATTGATTCTTTCGACTTGGAAATGGAATCTACCAATTCTACCAAAAAAACTTCCTTCTGAAGAAGCTCTGATTGTGAATACACAACACTTACAACACTAACCTGAAACTCATAAACAACATAAAAAAACCCCATCATGTTAGCATTTTATACACAAATGATATTTGCTAAGCAAGTTAATAGTAAAGGTTAAAAAAAATCAGCAATCAATTCATAAAAGTTCAAGGCCAGCGCAAGCAAGAATGGCATAGCTATTCTATAATGCACATTATCTGGTGCACGTCTAAAAATTCTTACTAAGAGCAAGCAACAAGGGTTTTGTGGGGGATACCATGAAGAAAGACATTCTTGATACCAGAAAACTGTTTAATTTGAGACTTGCAGTGTCAATTTAAGGAAATAACAGTTCCCCAGAATGCCATTTGACAGTTCCATACAATTTTTGCTTCTTTCCACATCATATTGATTCCAGAAAGCCTAAGAACTTAAGAACTACCATTTCTAAACCTTCAATTATTTATGCAGATCAGTCTCTGTTTTAAACACAATTCTCTATGAACTCGGTTTTGAATAGCAACCAATTCCCATATTGTGCCTGATAATTTGCTTTGGTTCCTTAATTGCAACATTATCAACTAAGTTTTTAAGTGAATTAAGCAAATTATTAAGAGAAAATAACAAAAACAAAGACAAAGGATAAATCTATTAAGAAATTAATGAAGATGAATGAAAAAGAGATTACCGTTTGGGAATCGAGAATGAGAACTTTCATGCCGGAAATGTCCTGCAGCATCCGGTTTATGTAATCTCGTACTGCCGATACCAGAACCATCTTGCGGGACCAGGGTCGATTAACCGTTTAGATCTACGGGCGTGCTTTTCCTGATGATGATTGCTATTAGGACGTATTTGTATGTTTTATTCGAACTTCAAAGTGAAGCTGAGGAAGACCAAGACCATGTCAGATCTGCGAAGAGGGAAACTGGAATGGTAGAAACGAGACCGATAAAATAGAGAAAGCACAAGGATCAAAACGCACCGTTTATTTATACAGTGTGTGGCGCCATTTGACGCGCCAACAATTTGCTGCCAGCATGAACCTATAATCTATACATTTTAAATACACTAGCAGCTGGATCAATTGCATTAAAATTGAAAATCGAACTGGCTATGAATATAGACGAATGAAATTTACAAGTTATCAAGGGTTATACAAGATTTTATAACAGATCCATCAGATAAAAAAAATAGAGAACTCACAATCGCGAAAGACAGTATTATCGCCTCGCTGTGAGAGAACAAAGAACTGAGAGATCATGATTAATAGCTGCTGCTTTTTCTTCCTTAAGGTTTCCTTTCTCTCTGTCTCTGTGAACTAAGCTTCGGCGATTTGTTCTTGTTGTTTGTAATCTGAAAGTGTAAATGCCCAAAACGAAAACAAAAACAGTATTTGTAATTATAATTCGTAATTTAATAAATTTAACAGGAAAACGACCATTCTTCGGTCGCTAATGTGCTGTCGTTTGACTATTGCTTGCAAAATGGTCACAACCATCACGGATACGGACATGATAATTTAAAAGTTTACCCAACTAAAACCACTTGATTATGATAATTTTCATGTACTAAAAATAACCATCTGATTGTCACAAGGTCAGCCCCTTACAATTTCTTTCCTTTCCCGAACCACCAAGAACCCATTTCTGGGTTTTTCCTCTCCAAGACCTTCAATTTTATACAAAGTTTGCAAAATTTGGTGGAGAAATTGTGAAATTGAGTTCAAAATGAGAGGAGGGGCTGTTCTTGCATCGACCAGCTATGGGTGATGAAGGCGAGAGCATTCTCTCTCTAGACTCTACAGGTCAATTTGTGGTTCGATTAGATTCGGTCCGGTTAGTGCCGATTCGACTTTTTTTCACCGGTTTCATTCGGTTTTCTCATGGTTTGATCCTTATTCAATTATCTCTCTATCAATATAATTAAAATATTAATGAAAAATTCCTCATTAGCTAGAATTTCAATTGTTTGGCTTTTTGATTTAATTTAAATTCAATGGATTTTTGGAAATAATATATATATATATATTTTTGAAAGTAAAACGGAAAAAATGCATTAAGAAACATGATAATAAGAATACAAGCATCCAGGAATAGAATCCCATACACTTAAGCTAGCATAAAAATAGGGCACTCAAGCTGAACTATGAGCTCATATGTTTACTTGCCTTTGAAGCTAACGAACAGAAATGTCGCTTCAACGACTAAGAACACACCTACAATCATTAACAAGCTTATCAAAATCCGATAAATCAGTACAGGTAGAGTGAAGATAATAGACCAGATGCTGACAATCACTGAAAATACATCCACCAGCGTCCATATTCTGCTCAATTCAAACAGGAGTTGTCCGCAAAGGCATCGCTTCTACTAAAGGTGGATCGTCATGAAGGTGAAAAGAACTAGATATGGCTTTAATAAACAGACCTTCTTGACTCTCAGACACCTGACATGCATTGTGCGGGAAACAAAGAACCATCCACAAATGCAAAACCAAGTTACAGCAGCATTATTAAGCATATAACTAGTTAAATGTCGACCTTGAAGAGTACTACAAGAAGCCATAGATGGGTCACCAAGCAATAACAAACTGTGATTATTAGGATTAGAGGTATCAGATGCTCTTTGCAAGGAACTACAATATCTATGATCCTGCATGGCTTGATTAACACAACGTGAAAAATCAGCAAGAGTAAGAAAATTAGTGATGCCAAATGCTTTGGCTGTTAGAGAACCATAATTTCCATGCAACAATCACAAACGTAGCAGTTCTCTCTGAATCTGAAGACTAAATCACCTGAGAATAGAATTGCTTAAAAGAACAAGGCTAGTTAAGAATTGAAAAATTGAATGTTCCCATGCTTCAATAGCCTTAGGACACTACAAAAGAATGTGATCCAAATCCTCCACCCTATTACAAAAAATACAAAGCATATCAACATCAACCCCCTTATTGAAATAAATTACTTTTTATTGGTAATATGCCTTTCAATGATCTCCATATAAAATCTTTAGCTTTTGGAGGAACTTGGATATGCCATTATTTATGCCAAAAAAAATTATCATGAACCATAGAAACATAATTCCTTAATAATTTAAGACGTAAATAATAGCAAGATTTAACACTAAAAATGGGGTATTTCATATTCAGATAAACAATTAGAAAAATCTTCTAGATTAGATCTTCAGCAACAACAACCCACAAAAGGAAAAACATGAATGTATATGATTCTACATTATTTTTATTTTATTTTATGTAAACAGGACAATGAATTATAGAGATATAGACTGAGGATTATTATTTTTATTTAGGGTACTGACTCTTAAATCTATCGATAACTACCATATGCAGATATTCACCAACCTTATCCTATATAACTAACCTAACTGCTTCATGTTATAATCTATTTTATTTTATCAGTTAAATTCTTACGTGGATTGCATGCAACTATTAAAATTTTAGGAGTGTTATTTTATTGAAATATTGAACATATTAAACTCTAGTAATGATCATAATAAAATATAATTAAATTAATTTTACACTAACTACAATAGTTTTTCACATGTTAATTAGAAGAGTTATCATATTTAACATAATTAATAAGTCAAGTAGAATAGCTTATTAAAACTTTTTTCCTCTCAAAAAAAAATTTTAATCAGTTATTCAGTTAGGTATTCTTTTTTTTAAAAAAAAAAAAAAAAAAAATTAGAGATATTAGACTGAGGATTTATTATTTTTATTTAGGGTAACTGACTCTTAAATCTATCGATAACTAACCGAATAATGCAGATATTCACCAAACCTTATCCATATAACTCTAACCTAAACTGCTCATGTTTAATAAATCTATTTTTATTTTATCAGTTAAATTCTTACGGTGAATTGCAATGCAACTATTAAAATTTTAGGAGTGTATATTTTATTGAAAATAGTTGAACATATAAACTCTAGTAATGATTCATAATAAAATATGAATTGAAAAATAATTTTTTGACACTAACTACAATTAGTTTTTAACATGTTAATTAAGAAGAGTTAATCAATTATTTAAAACATAATATATAAGTCAGAGTAGAATGAGCCTTATTAAAACTTTTTCCTCTCAAAAAAAAAATTTTTAATCAGGGTTATTCAGTTAGGTATTCTTTTTTTTAAAAAAAAAAAAATAGAAAAAAAGCCAAACCAATATTTTTTTAAATAAAAAAAAGACAAAAGTTGATTCTGTTTGGGTCCAATTATTGAGGCAAAATCCGAAATAAATCTACTTTGATGTGATTTCAATTTTTTGGTTTTGAAGCGAAAACTCTCTGCGTTTTTTTAAAAAAAAAAAAAAAAAAAGCAAAACCAATATTTTTTTAATAAAAAAAACAAATTGATTCTGTTGGTCAATTTAATTGAGCAAAATCGAATAATCTTTGATTTGATTCAATTTTTTGGTTTGAAGCGAACTCTCTGCGTGCCCTTACCGTAGGCTATGGGTTATTTTGATTAGCCAAAAGTAGTTATTCAATGTACTACTCCATTAGTTTCAGTTGAACGACAAAACCTGTTTATACAAAACCAATTAGCTTTAAGTCCATCACTCATTTTATTATAAGTTTTTTTATTTCATTATTATTTAACTTGAGATTCATTTCCTAACGAATATTATTGGCTAAATAATTGTAATTTAAGCTATAAATTTTAAATATAAAAATTATAAAAATAATGATAAATTTAAAATATTCAAATGATTAGTTAGTTAAATGCACCCTTAATTTACACGCATTATCCAATTTATTTATTTGTAAACCACCTGTATCCGGATCATATTATGAGTATCGACTAAATTCGGTTTAAAATTTAGTGACAGTTAAAGCTCTTCATCTCTCTCTGGAGGTGTGTTTAATGGGATCAAACCTGAAAGCTTTTTCCACATGCGCAGCCTGCGTTACCAACTGAACCACAATCCATAGGTATCCAATTTATTTATTAATAGTATATATATTTAATTTTTTTAAAAAAATAAATATTATAATTTCATTAAAAAAATGTCAATCAATATAAATAGCCAATACAAATTATATACTAATCAAAAATGATATAATTAAATTAATCAATAGATCAAATTAATTGTAAGATATAGATTTAAAATTTTTATTGGTATCTTCACGTGGATTCATGTGTCAGGACAATAGATATGAAATTATATAAGGAAGGTGAAATTAGATGTTAGCAAAGCAACTGCGAAACCATGTCGGGTCAAAATTATTTATTAGTAGGATTTAAATGTTAAGCTATTCGAGTAATGCTTTATAAAATGTTAAAAGTTAAACGTTATATGAGTTAATAAAACGCTATTTTATACTAATTCAAATATTATGTTACTAAAACACTATAAAAAATAACATTTAGTGTTTTGACTAATAAAAAAGCTAAAAGCTACTTAAAAAACTATACTATTATTGAACACAATCTTCGTCTCATTTAGATTTTCGGTTGCCTATCTTAATATGTGATACCTAATTATATTAGTATTTTCTATTCAAATACTAGGAAAAAAAAAATTAAAAATTCAAATACCAAAGGTAATATTTTCATAATAGCATGTATTCCCAATCATGTCTTCTTGACAAGAGATGCCACTACTCGAGCTTAACTTTGAAATTTTGAACTAAAAGCAGCCAAGTTCGTGTATCGTCCTTCATTATTATCGTTTTTAATAATATGTTTAATCCTTTTTATTTCTTTTTTTTAATCTTTTTCGTTAAATCTTCCTTTTGTTATATCACTTATCAATGGAAATCTTTGTGGTACTTTGTTTTCAACAAATTAAATTTTACTTTGTCATCGCTTCTACCTGTAGATTGATGGAAATACATAGATTGTGAAATTTATGAAATTTCATTTTTTAATATTTAGCTGGACAACAAGATTTATGTATTTAAAGGGTGTTTTTGGAACAAATATAAAATTTAAATTCATTATTAATAAAAAGTTGATAGAATTAAAAAATTTCACCTATAAACCAACATTTCTTTTTTTATAAAATGATAAAATTGAAGCTATGACAATGAAATTTATTAATTTCATAAATGTATTTTTTTTTTCTCAATTAAATAAAAGAGTATAATAAATTGACGAAATTATTTAAATTTTATTGTGTCAATATGCATAATGCATAAATTTGCCAAGTTTACGCTTTTAGACTTAATTATGCACAAGGAAGGCATTTATTTGTTTATTTTTTACATAAAAAAATTTCCTTGACTGAAAACGCAATGACCGCGTATCTGTCTTGGACACAAGAAAATTAATAATTTACCAAATCCTGTGAGCAGCAAGTCTCGTTGGTTTTTCTTCACCCTCTCCTCTTTCTGCGCTTCTTGCAATCTTGTACCGAAGACTAACTTTCGTTTGGCATTTCAAATTCCATTGTTACAGAAAAAATGAAGTAAAATCAATCAGATACAGATACTGCCTTCCTTAAATTTCAACTAAATCTCGAACAAGATGAGAGGATCCTCTTCTCCTAGTCCGGTGGAACCCAGGCACCGACTCTCTACTTCAACGTTAGTATCTCTCTCTTACGCTGTGTTTTACTTCTGCTATGATCTAATTCGAAATTAGAATGAGCGTGAAGCACTTGATTTCTGTCCATTAGCTATAAGCTCACTTGAGAACCAGCATTGTTTGATCATATAGTCAAACACTCCATTTAACTGAGATCTACTTGTTTGTGGTGTGATTTTAATTTAAAAGAGCAAATTCAAAGCTTACTTTCTAATTTTTTCTGGCTTGAACCATTTTCAATTCAGTAATTTTAAGTAAAATAGTTTGTTTCTAGTTCAACCTATGGTGAATTGATTGCACATCATGAATTTTTATTTCTGTTTGTAGGATTGATTTGATATTGTAGTTTTATGAAACGTTGTTGTTGCCTCTGTAAGTGATTTCCAATGATGACTTTGGTTTTAGCTCTTTGAGCTTCTGTTAACTGATTTTGATCTAATTAGAATGGTTTATTGTCAACAGGGAAGAGACGAACAGAAGAAAATTCTTGAGAGATAGAAGTCTTAGAGATGTTGAAAAGGCTTTCCAGGTTCCAATTCAATATAGGAATTTGAACTGCAAGATAGCTACACTGAAATTTGTGCTGGTTGTTATTGTATTGGGAAGTTTAGTCACGCTTTTCCACTCTCCAGTAGTTTATATTGCAGATCATCCTTCCACCTCTGGATCTAGGTATTCTTTATTGCCTACTTATCTTGCTTTACTTGATTATTCTGGCAATATTTTTCTGTATAGTTTCTGTTAGGTAGTTTATTGTTTTGTATTAATTTCATCGTGACATGGAGGTCTTCGTAAACATTTCATTTTTTCCCTTTTCCAGCAATCAGTAATTTAATCAATCTGATCATGGTCATAGTGATATACTGGTGCTGTATTAAGAAAATTGCTTGCCCTTTCCATTTTCAAAATGGGTGAAGTCACACTTCGCTTTTGTGCAGTAACTTGAAGGAAAAGTTTATTTCATGCAGGCAAAGTCTTGCAGACCTATGGATAAAAGAGGATCCTTCTGCAGATCCTCGTTACATATCAACTGCAGATGTTGACTGGGACCAGATTTCAGACTTGATTGACAGACTAAATGACAGTAGTGAATATCAGGGAATTGGTTTGTTAAACTTTAATGAGAGTGAGATTGATAATTGGAAGCAGCTTTTAACCGATATTGAGCATGTTGTCCTACACCTCAACCCTCTAGGACAAAACATAACTTGGGAATCCCTTTACCCTGAATGGATAGATGAAGAAGAAGCATTTGAGGTTCCCACTTGTCCTTCAGTGCCTAAACTTAAAATTCCTGGAAAACCACGTCTTGATATTATTGCTGTCAAGCTTCCATGCCCCAAGTCAGGGAAGTGGTCAAGAGATGTGGCTCGTTTGCATCTGCAGCTTGCAGCAGCAAGTCTTGCTGCATCTGCCAAAAGTTATCATCCTGTTCGTGTGCTTTTGGTGACTGACTGCTTCCCAGCCCCAAATCTGTTCACTTGCAAAGAACTGATTTTGCGAGAAGGGAATTTATGGCTGTATCAACCCAATCTCAATATGTTGCGTGAAAAGCTACAGCTCCCAGTAGGGTCATGTGAACTCGCAGTTCCTCTCAAGGCTAAAGGTCAGTTTTCAAAACTCACTTTTACTCAATGTTGTCTGTTTTTGTTATTTCTTATTAAGTTTGTGGTGTATTGGAAATCAGTTGGTCTGATTTTTTCTATCCTGTTTTCCTTATGCTGATAGAATCTGTTGTTCGTTGAAATTAATTTTTATTTAGTTAATTATTTGGTCTAGTGCATTAGTCACTTATACCTGCAAGCACATAATGCGGACACTAGCAAGATGGGGGCAAATAAACAAAAATAGACTGCTTAGCACAACATTTTTATAAAGTGAACCACCTGAGATCAAATTGACTACTTAATGGATTTTCTAAGTTTGTGATCCCAAGCATCTGAATGGTTTTTAGGAATTATAATGATCTTTTCAACATGAAATGCCAAAGAAACCAACTAAATGTTTCTTCAACAGAGAATTTTTATTCAGAAAGAGCACATAGGGAAGCATATGCAACAATCCTGCACTCTGCACATGTATATGTTTGTGGGGCAATTGTTGCTGCCCAGAGTATCCGCATGGCTGGTTCAACACGGGATCTTGTGATACTTGTTGATGAAACAATTGGCGAGTATCATAGAGGAGGCTTAGAGGCTGCAGGGTGGAAGGTCCATACAATCAAGAGAATCAGGAACCCGAAAGCTGAACAGGATGCTTACAATGAATGGAATTATAGTAAATTTCGTCTCTGGCAGTTGACAGACTACGACAAGATCATTTTCATTGATGCTGACCTGCTTATATTGAGAAATATTGATTTCTTGTTTGAGATGCCAGAAATAACTGCTATAGGGAATAATGCTACCCTGTTCAACTCTGGAGTGATGGTGGTTGAACCTTCAAATTGTACGTTCCAGCTGTTAATGGACCACATCAATGAGATTGAGTCATACAATGGTGGTGACCAGGGCTATCTGAATGAAATTTTCACATGGTGGCACCGGATTCCCAAACACATGAACTTCTTGAAACACTTCTGGGAAGGGGACGAGGAGGAGAAGAAACAAATGAAAATTCGTCTTTTCGGAGCTGATCCTCCAGTCCTTTATGTTATCCACTATCTGGGTTATAAACCATGGCTATGCTTCCGGGACTATGACTGCAACTGGAATGTGGACATTTTGCAGGAGTTTGCTAGTGATGTTGCACACAAAACCTGGTGGAAGGTCCATGATGCCATGCCAGAAAACTTACATAAGTACTGCTTGCTTAGGTCCAAACAGAAAGCAGCATTGGAGTGGGACCGAAGGCAGGCCGAGAAAGCTAATTACACAGACGGTCATTGGAAAATCAAGATAAAAGACAAACGTTTAGAAACTTGCTTCGAAGATTTTTGCTTCTGGGAGAGCATGTTATGGCACTGGGGTGAAAAGAATTGGACAGACAATGCAACTGTTACTCCATCACCTCCTCCTCCTGCTATTACCACCAAATCTCTTTCATCTTTGTGATAGGTTATTCTTTTCTACTTACAATTTACAAATATAGATGGCCGCACAGAATTTTGAGTTATGTTTTTAGTAACTATGTCAACATATAGATAGATATTGATGTTATTAGAATGTGCATCTTCATCTCTTCTGCAAGTTTTCCTGGCTAGCCAAATGAAGATACCATATACGCTGAGCTAAACTAATTGCTCCAACATCCTTTTCTTGTGGGTGCTAAAACTAGTTGCCTTATTTAGTGCTAATCTGCCATACCAAATTTGAGGGGTACTTGCCAAAATATTATAGATAACCATATAACCCTGAGCTAAACTAATTGCTTCCAACATCCGTTTTTCTTGTGGGTGCAAAACTAGTTTTGCCTTATTTAGTGCTAATTCTGCCTAAAAATCCAAATTTGAGGGGTACTTGCCAAATATATTATATATATATAGTAAATATATAATATATAATAGTATATATACAGCAGCATTTAAAAACATGTGTTGCACGTTGTTATTCCTTGTAGTTACTCATTATTTATATTTTTATCCTTTTAGATGTGATTTATTGTGGTTTCTTTTTGAAATTATAATAAAGATGATAATAAGATATTAAGAAAAAAAAAGAATATTTTAGATACTTTTTATTTAATATTTTGCTGTAAATATAATGGTATGTATTTTATGTAACACGAACAACTACAAATATAAAATTCTAAAAATGATAAATAACTTTAAAAATTAAGAATATAGAATATAATATAGAATAATGTAGCAATTGTATTTGGAAAAGAAAAGCAAAAGCAGCATTTAATATGTGATAATTACACAATTATGGAAGAAAAAATAAAAATAAACCTTATAATTTTTTTTTCTTTATATATTCCTTTATATCAATATTTTTTTTGAAAAATTACTATTATGTCCTAATATGATGGTCAAAAATAAAAAAAAAAGATTTATTATAGTTTACAAATTTCAATTTTATTATAGAGTAAGAAAATATTTACTCAACAATTGACTTCCATTTTATTTCTCAATGGTTATTATAATGTTATCCTAATAAAAAAATAATTAATTATTGGTTGACAACTCAACGTTCTTTTTTACATCAATAAAAAAATCCACTTTCGCATAACACCCTATTTGTATTTTCGGCTTACCACGTAAGCTAGAGATACTCAATTGAAAATTTTTTTGGATTAAAACATTTGGGGTGTGTTTACTTGTAGAAAATTGAGTAATTTTTGAGAAAAATTTCTTAGAAAATTGGAAAATATAATTTTATATTCAAATCAGTTAGTTTTCTAATTAGAAGCAGGTTTTCAGTTTTCCAAAATTTAACTAAGGTTTAGAAAACAACTTTAAATTATTTTCTACGGTTTTTCTTTATAGCAAAAAATATGTTTTCCAACTGTTTTCTATTTTATAAAATGACATTTTCATAAATCACTTTATAATCTATAAATAATTTTTTCTATAAAATATTTTTATTGAATAAATAAAATATTTAAATAACATAAAAAATTATTTTATGCTTTAATATATAATTAATTTTATTAATAATAATTTTATTATTACAGATATATTATATACTTTAGTCTTTAAAAAATTTTTACAAAAATAGATAAAAATTGATATTATTATTAATTAATTAAAATAATCGAGTAAAAAAAATTTAAATAAAAATATTTATTATTATTATTATAAATAATCGATAAAAAAATTTAATAAAAAATTTCTAAAGTTAGTTTATAATATTTTATTTTAATTATGAAAGTTAGAAATGATATTTGTAAAGTTTTTAAATTATAATATAATTTTTATATTATTACTAAAATGAACGCATTTTCCATTTTTTATTTTCTAATTTTCATTTTTTAAGAAAACTTTTTCTGTAAGTAAACACACTAGTAATTGTAAACATTTTCTACTGAGACATCAAAATATAATTTTTCTTTAAAAAAAAGTTGAGACATTAAATTTGTAATTAAGCATTTATGTTTTTATCCAATAAATTACACTCCCTCCGTCTCATTTTATTTATATAGTTTGACAAATCACGCATATTAAGAATTTAGTCAATAAAAATTACTTTGCCTCTTTTTACGATCAGTTCATTAAGAATTTAATAAACAATCATAAATATTATTATGAGAAAACTAATTGTTTAAATATATAAGCAAATAAAATGAAACGGAAAGAATATGACTTATTGAATAAGTTTAGAAAATAAATTTTTTTTCCTTTAGATAAAATTTGACTTCAAATTTAGATAAGCAATTTATTGATTAAATTTAGACAAATAAATTTATAAATGAATAAACTAAAAGTACAATAATACCTAACTATCTGTACACAAAATACTGATTTTCTGTTCTACAGTTATTCTAACCTATTAAAATGGTATGTATCTTCTACTGCTGAAATACTGAATTGCTGAAAAATGAAAATCCACTTTTTGTCATGTCTTTCCCACTTTCATTTATTATTATTAATTTTTTTTAATCGCAAAACACAATTCGTGAAAGAGGAGTCCAAGGTAAAATCATTTCAATTTGAAAACAAGTTTATTTCTCAATTAAACGACGCCATTTTATGGAACGCAATTTTATCATTTCTTCGGCTTGGAACCCAGACCATGACAAGCAGCTTAAAAGGCTCTACGAGCTTCTACATCTTCGCTGCTACATTTTCTGTGAATTGCTTTCCTTCTTCAGACTTCTGCATTTAAGGAGACGAAAACAGGGAAAAAAAAAAATAGATGAAAATTTATTTTTTGCGAAACCGGAAAAATGGATTTGATTAAAGTCCCTATAATTTCAACAATTCCACCAACGAAGAGCTTCTTACACAGGCCTTCTCTTTCAAACCACAACTTCCCATTCCCAATTTTGGCACAACCATTTCCTGCAATTCAAATCAAATCCTATCCACTTCAGGCCAAGAAGAGAAACTCGCAGTCGGAGCCAGTTCTCAAGCCAACCATAATTGAAGAAGTATCCGAGGAGGATGAAGATGAAGAAGAGCAGCTTTTCCTTGATGAGCTTGAAGACGGTAATCAATTACTCATTTTCTTTCTTTTGCTCACTGCTTGAAAAGTATATATTTTTTCTTTTTTTATAAGCATTTCTTGCTCCTAAGAAGTTTGAAATTAGAACTGATTGTAAGTTCAGACATAACTTGCTTTTGAATGATCTTTCTAGTTCAGTAATATTCTTAGTAAATTTGCTATAGTTAGTAGCTGTTTGTAAAATGGAATATTTTGGCAACTTCTGGGTTAAACTGAGATGTTTACGGGGTTTTAGTTCTACTAATGAAATAGATGCAGCGGATGATATACTCATATCTCTCTCGTTTTTTTACAAGTGCGTCGTGTCTAAATGAAATCTTCATTGTTTAGAGGCATTGATGGATACTGAAGATGAGGATTTGGAGGATGAGTTCTTGGAAGACGAAGCTGAACTCTATGTAAGTTTTTGTGAGGATGAGTTATTTGTATGAATTTTTTTTTTTTTTTTTTTTTTTTTGGATGGAAGTTTATTTGTATGAATTTTTTTTTTTTTATTTTTTTTTTTTTTTTTTTTTTTTTTTAATTTCACAGGTTGAAATTAGACAATTTGCTTACTGTTTTCATCTTTTCTAAAAAGGTTGGAGATGGGACTGCCGGAGGTGGAATTGCTCTTGCTGGGACATGGTGGGATAAAGAAGCATTAAGGATAGCTGAGGAAGTTTGTGAATCCTTTGATGGTGAATTGAAAATATATGCATTTAAGACATTGTCAAATCTCACTATTCAAGTGCGCATTGAGAGGCTTACAAATAAGTAAGCACTATTTGATTCAGTGTATGAGAAATGCTATTGAATTTGTTACAGTTACTGCACACCATGATTGCATTTCCTACACAATTTTTTCTAAGTTTTAATATCTCAGTACATTTTTTGTCTGCTATGAATCAGTTACTGAGCATGTATTGAATGGTGCAAAATGACAACAACTGGATTAATAAAGATGTACTTGAACTTCAATTATGCCTCAATCTTCATCAAAGTAGATTTGAAATTCGGTGAGCTGTTTAAATTAAATAGTAAGTCTTAAATTAGAACAATAATGTTATGAACATTAAATAGGAATTTAGATGGATGAGACATCTGAGACAGATTTCAGTCACAATAGTGTTGGTATATGTCCCTCATTATCTCTCTGAATAAGTGTTTTGTTTTCCCTTCCTGCTTATCAGCTTATGCTTGACCTTAGAGTTATCCTTCTTTTCAATTGTTTGCCCTTTCACATGGCGCTACCAAAATGGTGTTAACATAACTGGCCTTTTAAATAGAATTATCAGTCAATTCAATTATCTCTCAGAAAATTTAGAATCTGAACTTTCTTAATGGTAATTTCTTATGCTATGAATGAAAACCTTGTTTAATTCTATCTAATTTTTTATAACAAAGGGTTCTGTTGAACTCTGAACTAGAATGTAACGTAATGAATGCTTTTCTGAAAATAAGCTGCTTGCTTGAGTCAAAATTTTTTTTTATCCTATCAGGTTTTGTTTTGGGAAAATATTTCCTGGAAGTTCCACTTAATATCTTTGGTCGATTGTTCCTGTTATTGTACTAAACTGTATACTGTATTTCACAACTTCTGTATAGCACTTGCAATGAGTTGAGATGCAATTCTGAACATGATTGGTATTTTTATTTAGTTGTGTGGTTCAAATGTCTGTATTTTGCACTTGGCATTAGATGTGTTACAAAAGACTCTGGTGATAGGAAGTGATGTGATGTACTCTCAATTAGATAGTTCATTTGTCTCCTTAGGTCTACACATCTTTAGTGCGTTGACATTAAAATTTTTGTAACCAATTTATATAAATAATGAGATGGCTCACTGATTTTTAGGACTGCAATTAAAGCATGTGCTAATGGTGGATGGGAAAATCAGAAATGCAGTTATATTGTTGGTTGTCTGTTGTTTTTACTTGGAAATCTTATGTTAACTAACCTTTTCTAGTACCTCTTCCCATTAGTAGTTTGTTTTCTACAAGCTGCATAAAGTATATCCTACTGCGTATAAGGAATACTTGTTGGGATCTAATTTCAGAATTATGCATTTCAGGTCTGGTTCTCCCAATATGGAAGATATTGAAGCTTTTTCGACAACCTATAGATCACGGTTGGATGAGGCCGAGGTTGCTAAAACTATAGCAAATAATATAGCTTTAGAGGTAATGATTGCCACCTCTCTCTCTTATATTTACACACACACACACACACACGGTTTTGAAACTGCATTTGTAGGAGGTACTCCTTAGAATTTAGACACATCCTAAATGAAATTTCATATTTTAGTGTATGCCAAATTAATTTCATGTTTTATGTGCTAATGGTGTATGTGTATGTTATTTTTCTTTTTTGACTCATCCGAGAAGGGTTAGGTGTTGAACTTGTTCCCATCTTGGAATAATTGCTAGTTAACAATTGAATAAAGCTGGTTGGCTTGCTGATGGTATCTAATAGAAAGATTGAGTAGCTTAATTTGGGTATTGGACCTTGATTTGATCTTTAGAAGTTTCACATTCTTGGTTGATCTGTTATGGCTAATGCTTTACAGCTGAAGCTTAAATGACGTTTGCCTTCTATTGGTTATTTTAACTTTTAAGTATAAAAGTTGTGTTTTACCTCAGGTATCATCTCCTGGTGTTGAAAGGGTGGTTCGAATTCCTGAAGAGCTGGATCGCTTCAATGATCGGCCCATGTATGTGAAATATGTCAGTGACGCTGCTACTTTGGATTCATCTTCAGAAAGTGATGGCATTTTCAGGCTCATTTCTTTTGATATGGAAACAAAATGTTGCACCTGGGGTTTGGCAGATGTACGGATAAACAGAGAAAAAGCTGGGAAGGGAAGACCACTTAGCAAAAAGCAAAGAGAGTGGCGCTTGAACACACCCTTTCATTCCTTGCTATTAGTTCGACTGTATTCTGAAATCTGAGTGTATACTTTTTGTTCTATCTTCTTTTTTTTTTTTTTCATCCCTGAGACCATGCATACCTGTACTGTAGGGAACTTCAGTAATAATAATTCATCTAGCATAGTAACAGCTATTGGCAACAAATGAAGTGCCGTCCCCAACTGGCTGTGTCTGGCATACCATTCTGTATGTGAAGTGATGAAATGTAATATATTGTACTATACGTATTTAAAAAAAAAAAAAAAAACTGTTATAAAAAAAAAGATTTTTTGCACAAATAAGCCTGGAAAAAAGGACTTATTTTACAGATGCGTAGAAGAGTAACATGAAATAATAGCTGCCTTATTATGCATTTGGATGGTTCTATCCCGGACCTGTTGTGGCTCGCATCATCCGATTTGAAAGTATGTTCCACAGGCAAGTTTCCTTCATTATGATTATTCTATTCAGCTGCATATGACTGTTGGTTGACCTAGTAATGATAGTTTCGTTTTTCTTCTTACAAACTGATGCTCTTTTAAGTCATCACATTTAGTATCTTGCTTACCTTTCGAAGTGAGTTTTTTTCTAGATTTTTTTTCCCCTATGGAATTCTACTATTGGCCTTCATTCATAGTTTGATTGACAGTTGGATTAGTTACTTACATAACCAGTCAAGTGCAAAGAGTGTTGCCTAGGAAACTAATGCAAGCCAAAATGTACTTTCTCACCAGCTTGAACTATTAACTACTTAATCCTTTGAAGTAATCATGGTTCTTAGGAGTTTGACATTAGCCTGGCTAATCAAAATGTACTCTCTCTCACTCACTCACACACTCACACACACACCCACACAGAGTCTCACATGTGGGTGCGCGCATGTTTATGAACAGAATCAGTTATTCTTTTGTTCTTACTCTGGACCAAAGTTTCTTTTCAATAAATGGCAGCAAACAGAGTAGGAATGTTGGGGACCAGAAAGTGGTTGCTAATTTATTCAGCTTATAAGATCCACAATTATACATTGCGCATGTGCTATTCCTATAACTTTTTCTTTTTTAAAGGAGAAAAGCTTAGCTCGTCTGCAGATTCATTTAGACACAAGACTTGAATTAGAAGTTAGCTCACAAACTGACATTTCTGCTTCAACATGCCCCACAAATTATAACCCCCCATATGCCTCCTCTGGTTATGGTTTTCTCCTTCTTAACCTCTATACTTTATCTCAGTCATTGAAAAAGAAGAAAAAACTGTTGTGGGATCCCTCGAACATGTGGGACCCACACAAGTTTGAAGAAAGAAAAAAAAAATAAAGTAACAAACACGTTTTGTTTTGGGTAGTCAATGAAGGCTGCGAAAGAAAGAGAAAAAATGTGTTATTTGAAAAAGAAGAAAAGTTGTCAATCTTCTTTGACAAAGTATAAAGACGTGAATGTAAACAAAACATCCGTTTGGTTTTGGGTAGTCAATGAGGCTGCGAAAAGAAGAGTCAATGAAGGCTGCGAAAGAAAGAGAAAAAATGTGTTATTTGAAAAAGAAGAAAAGTTGTCAATCTTCTTTGACAAAGTATAAAGACGTGAATGATGATTTATACACGACTCATTCACTGAACTGCATATAAAAGGAGGCAGACGAAGTTCATTTAAATGTACAAAAATAAAAGATTAGAAATACATAATTAAGTGTAAACAATTTTAAGAAAGGGTTACTAAAATTGGAAAAGAGAGAAAATAGTGAAGATTATAATTTTTGGGAAACACTTAAAGTACCACTATTTTAGTAATCTCTTTTGTACCTACTATTTTTAGTCGAAGAATTATTCGGAGTTTTTGTCCCGTGGACGTAGCCCATAACAGTTGAAGAGTGAACCACGTAAATCTCGGTGTCCTTATTTTTCATCTGACATTTAACTGGTAATTATGTTAATTTTTTGACCTGTGGTTGATTATTTTCTGGTAATTATCGATTGGCATTTTTCCGCGGCCACTCGGATCAGTTATAACCCAACAACTGGTAATCAGAACCTTTGGTTGTAATTCTGTCAAGTTTTCTAAAAGTTATTCAAACGTTGAATAGTGTGAATGTTCGTAAATGGTTAAAAATTTGTCAGATTCAGATTCGACAAATGGCTAAACGATGCAATGATCAAATTGATGGGATTCGAATTTAATTCAATGTGAAAATCTAGAATGGAGGACTATATAACCTCAATTGCAAAGATTCTGTACGAAATCCAATTGAAGGTTGACAGTGCAAGCCAGAAAGGAATGAAAAAGAAAGGCAGGGAGAAAATTAAAAAAAGCAGACATTGGGTACAAATACGCCAAAGGATAGATGCTAGCCTAACAACCACAGTGAGAAGAGAATAAAGATCCCCATAGTTCTCCGTGGAAGATAATTGAGAGAATATGTTCGAGGCTATGAATGCTGCAATGAAAAGGTCTTAATATTCGTAAAGTCCATGAACTTGAAGCTGTCAGAGGGATCGATCAATTACACAAACCTGAGACGATTTTGATAGGACTCGTAACGTGAGTTAGCAGTTAGCGGTATGTCCTTAATGAACAGAATGGCAAGCATGCTTACTGTTGGGAATCTCACCGGTAGGTTTGGGATACTCTTGTGTATCAATGAGTAAACAACTCAGCTCCAAAATGTGTGTGTAAACAATGGTCTATGGTAAGAATAGACTACTTAATGAAAGAACTACTACGAAGAAGACTTGCCAGGTACCAGTTCACGAAGCCCTTCAACAGAGAAATAGGGGGGCCGGAGCATAAAGTTAAAAAAAAAAAGAAAAAAAAAAAAAAGGGGTCCAGCAATTGAAAAGTCAGGTGGTAGATCCAATCCAGAAGATGAGAGAAAGTGTTACCCACGATGCGGAAGGAGGGGGGTCCATCTCAAAAGAGAAATTGTCGTTTAACTCAAAAACAGATAATGCAAATCCGAGAAACAAGAAATGACAGAAATTACATCTGCTACAGTCTCAGGAGAAGATAGTGAGTGACTTTAGTCACTCATGGATGCAATTTGCTACAATGTGGAGATTTGCAGATACCGAGTGGTAGTAAAGAACCCTCCGGTGCTTTCGTACCACTGTTTTCCAAAAGAGAATACTTTTTTCATTATAAAGCAGGAGATTTTGGCAACTATTAGAAATGAGGAAATAATAGTGCTCGCAAGTGGTGGGAATTCAGTGAATATCTGCATAAAAGAGACATAGTGGTAACACTTAAAAATGTGAGACATATTCTTGATCTTCGGTTGAACCTGTTGTCTATGAGTGTACTGGACAAGGAAGGCTATCACAATCATACAGGTGACAGTAATTGGAAACTCACCAAAAGGTCTTTGGTGGTGGCGAGAGGAAAAATATGTTGCTCGCTGTATAAGACGCATGTAATAATATGTGCGGGTCAACTGAGTCAACTGAATACAGTTGCAGATGATGCTTCACCAAATTTCTGGTATAGGCGGCTGGCGCACGTTAGTGAGAAAGGGTTGAATATGTTGGCTAAGAAGTCCCTCATCCCTTTAGCCCAAGGTAAAATAAACCCTTGTGATCATTGTTTATTTGGAAAGCAACATCGTATCTCATTTCAGAAAAGCTCTAGACGGAGAGACAAGTTGGAGTTGGTATACTCTGACGTATGTGGTCCCATGGAAGTAGAATCACTTGGAGGAAGTAGGTATTTTCTAACCTTCATTGATGATTTCTCTCAAAAAACATGGATATATTTGTTGCGCACAAAAGACCAACGCACAAAAGGACCAAGTATTCCCAAGCACTTTCAGCAATTCCCATGCGATGGTGGAAAGGGAGATTGGCAGTGGCATTTGAAGTGTTTTGCCGCACGGATAATGGTGGTGAATACATCTCTAAGGAGTTTAGAGATTATTGTAAGTCACGCACGGTTATCAAGGCATGAAAAGATAGTTCCTGGTAACGCCTCAAACCACATGGCGTTGCCTGAACGGAACACAATGGCGTTGCTGAACGGATGAATCGCACCATTGTTGAAAGAGTCAGATCCATGCTCAAAATGGCCAACTTACCTAAGCCATTTTAGGGAGAAGTTGTCAATACTGCTGTCTACCTAATCAACCGACTACCTTCAGCACTTTTGGATTTTGATATCCCGGAGAAGGTCTGAACAGGTAGAAATATTTCATACTCTCACTTGAGGGTATTTGGCTACAAGGCATTTATGCATGTTCCTTAGGAGCAGAGATCAAAGCTTGATGACAAGTCAGTTCCTTGCACTTTTGTTGGTTATGGAGACGAAGAGTTTGGCTATAGGTTATGGGACCCAGTGAAAAAAAAGTTGTCAGGAGCCGAAACGTAGTATTCCACGAGAATGAGATCGTGGCAGATACAACTTGTGAAGAATCCACAAGTGATGGTGTTGTTGATATTACACCAGGAAGCATTCCTATAGATTCCTATTAAAGCGCATGGATGCACAGTAGGAGGAATGCCAGGAATCAGAATGAGAAGAAGAAGAAGTCAGAACAAGAAGAAGAAGAAGAGCCAGTCGTAGGGGATCAAGAGACAATTGTAGATGATAACAGTGATGCAGAGGGTGTTGAGCAGGGGGAGCCAGAAAACCCCATTCCATCAGAAGGAGTTGAACCTTAGTTAAGAAGGTCAACCAGAGAATGCCAACCATCTACAAGGTACCCTACTTCTGATTACATTTTGATTACTGATGAGGGGAGCCAGAGAGCTTTCAAGATGTGAAATCTTGCAAAGATAGAGATTGCTGGACAAAGGCCATGCAAGAAGAGATGAATTCTTTGAAAAAGAATGACACGTATGAGCTGGAAACTTCCAAAAGGGAAGAGAATACTTCAAGAACAAATGGGTGTATAAATGAATGAAAGATGATGGCAACCTAGTGAGATACAAAGCTCCAATTGGTCGTTTCAAAGCGCTTTAACTCCAAAAGAAAGGGTATTGGAACTTTGATGAGATTTTTTTCACCAGTTGTTGGAAAAATGAGTTCTATTCGAGTTGTTGCTAAGTCTTTGTAGCCAAATTTGAATTCTTGAGTTGGCAGCAGCTTGATGTAAAGACCGCATTCTTGCATGGGGATCTAGAGAAGAAATCCTATATGGAAACAACCAGAAGTTTCAAGGTCAAGGGAAAAGAGGACATGGTTTTGTCGCTTGAAAAAGAGGCTTTGTATGGGTTAAACAAGCACTTGCGACAATGGTATAAAAGGTTTTGATTTCTTTTCATGGTGTCATGGTGAATCAAGGATACAA